TGTGTCTGGTTCTGTTGTTCTTAAGTGGTAATATCATGCTTTAAGAGGGCTGCGTTTAGCGAACATGGCGCCTGTCTTCAGCAAGATTTTGATACTTAAAAATGTTTCCTTATTTTTAGGTCTTAGTTAAAAAAAGTTAACAATCACATCTTTTTAGTGTAAATTTGGATTATCGTTTCAAGCTGGACCGGAGATGCATTTTATAAAAATCATTACCCAGTAACACTAGCAATATATTAAAAGCTGGGAATGCAATATTTGGTGCATTCGACCCCCGCACACACATCAATCGTGTGCGAGGGCACACTTTTCCACCCCACCCCAAAATATTAACAAAGCAGACTGCACGTACAAAAATGGGGTGATTTCTGATGAAAGCAGGTACGAATTTAAAGCAAAATAAATACTATTTATAGAAGAAAACCTTGAATGTTGCGAATACCAAGAAAACCTAATTATACGCATTTAATAACGTGCCGTAAGAGTTAATTAAAGGTTGACGTTGCGTCGAGTTTTTAAAGGGTGTACCTACTCAAACATGCATATGCAAATTTAAATCCAACAAAACGTGATTGCACGCACTAGGAAAAAATTGACATACAATCAACATAAAAGATTCCAAATTAACTTGTATAAGTTAAGTTTTTTACATCTAATTATAGTAGCTAACACCTGGTGGTAGTCACTTACACCCTTTTCATGGTCTACAAATTTTAAAGGGTGTTAAAACAAACATTTTCGCATAAATAAATGACCGACGCCTATAACACGAAAGTAGAGCTTAAATTTTAAGCCATTAGCCATTAAAGCCTACCACTTAAATTGAAATTTATGGAGGCACAAAACCCATCAGTGTTTGTTAAAGGATAACTCCAGCCTACAGGATAATTCAATAATGCAACAAAAATAGATCAGTTACCAACTTTATAACAAAACTTTTCGTTCCTCGTTAATAAATCATAGTTTAATGGACAGCTCTATAGTATGTCCATTGTAATGCGAATCTAACTAGGTCTCATCATCTTTAACTCATTTTTACTTCTAATCTTCAATCGAAATCTGGATAGAGCAATCTGATTACTCTCTAAAAATTAATTAGTCAAAATGAGTGGTTTTTAAAGTGAAAAGGCATCACTAATAACTGTTGTCCACAGCAATTTGTATTTAACAGCCAATTCTTATGTAAAATTGTCCCCTGAATCTGAAAAGAAATTATGAAAGTAGAGCAGTTTTTTAGGTATACGGCCATTCCAAGCCCATGGACAGGACACATCAGAAACATGTCTAAATATATTCTTGTTACTTCCTTAAGTTTACTTATTTTTTCTACGAGTATTTATGAGAAGTATTAGCCAAATTTGGCTAATACTTCTCATAAATACTCGTAGAAAAAATAAGTAAACTTAAGGAAGTAACAAGAATATATTTAGACATGTTTCTGATGTGTCCTGTCCATGGGCTTGGAATGGCCGTATAGTCAATTCCATATTATATGGAAAATTGACTATGTCTCAAAAACTGTTCAACTTTTATAACTTTTGATTTTTGATTCAGCAGACAATTTTACACAGGAATTGACTGCTAAATGTCGGGGATAGAAATTGCTATTGACGAAAATTATTATTGGCTGCTTTTTCGCTATGACAATTAGTCATTTTTGACTAATTCATTTTAAGAGAGTATCAAAATGCATTTTTTGAAGCAGTGTAATCCTCTTGATCCAAGATTGCTCGTGAGAATGACCATAAGCACTAACATATAGATCCAACAGACCGGATACGACTGCTTGATCGAGTTTATTATCATAATTTCAGCCAGACTGCCTGTCTGTTAGTACAGCGTGTAATGGTGCAGCGTTTTATCTATAATTTGTTCACGTGTAATAATTATGAAGTAAAAGAAAACAATTAACACCTGTTTGTTGAATATGCATTTACTCAATCGGAGTTTAATCTGGTGAAGATGTTTTTGATTAATTGGTTTCTGGTGGGGGATTCCAGATATCCTTTGGATTATTATCAGTGAAGATGTTCGTAATTAATCGATTTCTGATAAGGCGCTTGGAGGTATCTTTTTAATGTTTGTTTACTTCAAATTAATAAGCTTTAATGGGTTTTATCGTTGGTTTGGAATTTTTATGGTGAATCGGTTCGTTGGGTGGCTCGTGCAATGCATAGTTCTTCAAAAAAGGCCACGCAATTTTGATTACAATGTAATCATGTCATGATAGTCCAATTGGATTCGGGATTTCAACATAATTAAAAGTCGTTGGGATGTTTTCAAAACAATAAAGCATGATGAATCCGAGTTACTTCAAACTATAGTGAGGGCGCTAACTACATCTACTACAAACATTTCTATAATTAACCCTTCCCTAGTGTAGACAAACGGTGCGATGTGCAGATATTATACCAAGGATTTAAAGAGTGTACAAAAATGTACATATGTTAGTATGATTTTGTGTGTTTTGGTGCAAAGTTTAGGGGAAGGGCACGCATAAATGTCTAAAATCAATAACACGGCTGTCTTGAATTTCGACCACGATTTTTGACGTTTGTCACTACTACAGACAAGCATGACCGGATATAGTTTTGTTTTCATTCATACTTTTACAACTAATACTTACAATAATTTGCTAATTTATTTACAATAGTGGTCAAATAAATCCTTTCGTCCTTTAATCACTTTAATAACACACATACACTGTCATTTCACCTGGGCGCACTGCGATTAATTTACCATAAATAAACACCGGCATAAACAAACGACACTAGATAATTTCTCTGTGATGTTCAGTTGTTTTGCAGCATCTCTCGCCAGCGCTCGCTTGTGGCATCCACAGACCGCATCGATACTGTTCTGTCGGGCAATGCGCGCAGATGGAGGCTAAAAATACGAGCGGGCGCGGCAAGCTGCGACGAGACCCGAGCGGGGCTAAAAATGGCCGATGCCAATCCACCCTCACATGCTCGGATGCGATGCGGGGTTGCCGAGTTCACGGAGGAATCCCCTTGGACTTTAATTTGTCTGCTTGGGCCCTAAGCCTTTGGGGCAGAATATTTTGGTCCTGTTTTAAATGTAAATTATATAATTAGTACCTTTAAAAGGCTTTATTTTAAAAATACTAATTTAAATAATTAAAAAATTAAGGCTTATTAAATAAAACAAATAAATAACAGATATTTATGTTAAAAAAATTTATTTAATGATAAATAAAATGTAAGTAGAAAAAATTATATAAAAATCAAAGGTAATATAATATAGTAACAAAAAAATTAAATAATTAAAAAATTAAGGCTTATTAAATAAAACAAATAAATAACAGAAATTTATGTTAAAAAAATTTATTTTATGAAAAATAAAATGTAAGTAGAAAAAATTATATTATTATATTATAAAAATCAAAGGTAATATAAAATAGTAACAAAAAAATGTGTACTTTTTGGCCCCATCTACCTCTAAAAAGTAAATAGTTCACATTTTCATATCCATTGTGACTATTATTTAGGCAAACTAAAGGTAATTCTAATGTTACCCGCAGCAGTAAAGTTTCGCTTAAAAAGTCTTTTATTTAAGTTTTAATATCGTGGCGATATCAGTGTAGTGTGACAAAAAAGACATGTGACAAAAGAGACATTTTTGTGACCCAATTAATGCACATAAAACATTGCATTAATTAAAAATAAAGAAATTTGGTTTACTTTATGTGAAAAAGAAAATTAAATACTGCAAATACTCACGTAGTAAATGCAATGCCGCTTGCTTGTAACGCGCAAAATAACAATAGCGATAACATTGCGTGCGGCGGTGCCTCGTCACATTTATAAACTACATGGGTTACGAAGTTTTTTTATATGTAATGCTAAATTCCAGTGTATTTTATAACAAAGCTGTTTTTATATAAAACGTCCATAAATTAGGGGGGAGGGGGGTCGTCGAAAATGTGACAAAAAATTTCGTGAGGTAGACCTTACACAAATATTAAATCAGTGTGACGTGACGCCAATGGGGAGGGGGGAGGTCCCATAATTTGTGACACTTTTTGACAAAGGGGGAGAGGGGTTAAAAAATATTTAAAAAACGTGTGACATCATTTATGAACGGCCCCTAAGTAGACGTTTTGTAAAGAAGGTTTGGTCAATTATTCGCAGACATTTTATCACATTTTTTATTATTACTGAGGAGCTACTTATTCGTTATTTCATTTTAGTTTTAGAATTCTGTTTCATACAAAACCTATGAAATATATTTAAGTGTTCACTATTGCAATAAGACGGTGACAGGGGGTTATAGAGTGTAATGCTAACTTTCAACTTTAATTAAGACATATTTTTATATTTAATTGAAAGATTCTCTATTAATTTTTATTAATTTAAGTTTTAATTTATGAATCTAGTTCTATATTAGCTGTCTAAATTTTTTTTTTTAATAAGAAATGGGACAACTGACAAATGGAAGAGAGCCTTAATATACTATAAAATAAATAAACTATAATAATAATAAATAAAATAAATAAACTACTTATAGTTTAATGACCCAGGTACAATTTGTAAATAATAACGAAGTTATTATGATTGAAGCGTCTCATATTTTGCCCAACTTGTCATAAAATACATAATATTTCAACCATGTTAACTGCATTATTTTTCCAAACATACTTAAAAATATAAAATAGCTATTTTAGAGACCAAATCCAAAAGTGTATTTAATATAAGTACCTGTTTTAGAGTAATAAAAAATTCTATTCAAATTTTCATATTTTATAAAAAAATATTATTTAATTTTTCTAATATTTTGTTTCTATAATTTTGATAGTTATAATTCGTCTGTTTATTAATTTGACTACCCCTTATTATTAATAATAATGTCTATTAATTTTCTGACATTATAAAAAAAAATATTAAAACAAAACTATATTAAAAACAAATTAAAAAATCTATAAACCACCGAACGATAATAAACAAAAATCTGAACATCATGGGAAGCCGGACACATGTTACCAAAACCATAAACCCCGCAGCATAAACATTTCTGGTCTGGTAAATCTGGCAACGCCGACGCCGTACGCATTCCCGTAATTGCCGATGGGTTCGCAGCCCTCTGCGTTTTTACTTGCGATGGTAATTGGGACGATAATTGGCCGACTAGATCTATGTGCGATCTAGGATGTGGAAAACATTTGAATGCGCTGAATTTGGTGGTTTTTGTGACTTTTAGGGGATTTTCAATCTTGGCGTTCAGGTCAGGTGTATCGATCTAATTCCGTCTGGGAAATTAAAAGTTGTGCGTTGTGGTTATGAGTTTCGTTCCATGGCAATCTGCTATTAGATGTGGGGGATGTTTAGTAAAGTTTTATTGAATTTGGGATTTTAATTAAATTTTGCGAATGGCCCTTTGTTACTTACTAATAATTACTTGTTACAATTTTATATCTAAAATACTAGAAATTAAAAAGAATATTTTTTCAATATTTGCGCCATCTAAAAGAACCACTATTCTCATTAAAAATTCTCTTGGAATATTTTCAATATCCTCTTCGAAAAATCATTGTTGAAATTTATATGTTTGAATTTCTTTGTTTTGATTATAAATTTCCACCAACGATTTACTCGCTAATTAGTTGTAAAACTATAATTTTGCTTCTATTGTTTTTAAAAAGTTTTTGTCAGTTTGGGGTTTGAACCCTCTAACCCCCTCCCTGAATCCGCACCTGATAATAATCAGTAGGTTACTTTATAATAAATGTTATGGATATTTTAATAAAATGTTTATTTTTGGCAGAATACAATAATTGGATAATATTATTTAACCGGCACAACCAGACGAAAATCAATCAATATTATTTAAACCCTAATGAAATAGTTAGGTATGCCGAATACATTTTAAATCAAATTCAATAAAGCTAAAAATAATACCTCTCTCCAAAAAAAAAATTTAGATTTCAAATTTACCTATCAAATGAGTTTGCATCTGAGTCATTCCAAATAAAAACACCAAATGGGGTGCGCTGCGTGATTTTTTATTTTGATAAAAAAATTTGAGGATGATCTTTTAGGTGTCAAATATGAAAATCCGTTGCCGTTTTAATTTTTTGTTGCTTTACTTTTATTTGGCACCCCTTAGAAGTCTGAAATAGTGTCAATTTCTTACTCTCTTATAGTGGGCCAGAACTTTTTTTCTGTGACAAATATTGAAATAATTTTAATTTTGTTTAACTGTCCAGTAAGTGTGTTTTCGATATAAATTATTATTATTCAATTAGTTAATCTCATAAAAGAATGGTAAACCACTAAAGATTCATGATAATTTGCCAATTTTTGTGATTTTTGTCTGGCTCCTGTGCCTATTCTACTGAATTTAGAAGGTTCATTTTTTTCAGGTATAAAGTACTTATACAATAGAAAACGTAACTATTATTTTAAGTTTCTGGACTATCAATTTCTTTATTAAAAAAATTATTGAAAATTGATAATTCTCAAAATTAGCCAATTTTGCCCTCAGAAATCATTATGTTGAGGAAAAAATAAAAATCTGAAACTTTCAGGAAATGTAGTCCCCACCTTCATCTTTTCAGTCCAGTTAGTCTTGTTTTGTTATTTTTATCCATGTAAAAGATATAATAATTTTTTTAATGCCAGTTAAGAAGCGATATTGTTAGTTTTATTTATAATCTAAAATTTAGATGGCTTTGACTTTGTCAATTCATGTTTGGTGGAGAAATGTCAGAATGCGAAAAATATTTCATAAATATTATTTGTGAGTATTTCTTATTATATTATGTTATATACAAAACTTTTTAAAGTCACCAAAGGAATACCACAAATAATAATTATAAAATATTTTTTATAGTTCAGCTATTCCAAGCTACTCGGAAATTTTTGTAGCGTCCTTTACAATAAAAAATTGTGATTAAATGCTACCGTAATAAAATGAAATACCTTTACAATAGTTAATATTGCAAACATGTTTATTATGCTTGTAATAATTAGGCTTAAACTTATAAGCATAATAATTACGGTAGTTTTACTTACAATTTTTGATTGTAACGGACGCTACAAAAATTCCCGAGTAGCGTGGAATGGCTGAACTATCAAAAATATTTCATAATTTTTATTTGAGGTATTCCTTTGGTGACTTTAAAAAGTTTTGTATATAACATAATATGACATATTATGTTATATACAAAATTTACCAAAGAAATACGCACAAATAATATTTATGAAATATTTTCGCATTCTGACATTTCTCCACCAAACATAAATTGACAAAGTCAAAGCCATCTAAATTTTAAATTATAAATAAAACTAACAATATCGCTTCTTAACTGGCATTAAAAAAATTATTATATCTTTTACATGGATAAAAATAACAAAACAAGACTAACTGGACTGAAAAGATGAAGGTGGGGACTACATTTCCTGAAAGTTTCAGATTTTTATTTTTTCCTCAACATAATGATTTCTGAGGGCAAAATTGGCTAATTTTGAGAATTATCAATTTTCAATAATTTTTTTAATAAAGAAATTGATAGTCCAGAAACTTAAAATAATAGTTACGTTTTCTATTGTATAAGTACTTTATACCTGAAAAAAATGAACCTTCTAAATTCAGTAGAATAGGCACAGGAGCCAGACAAAAATCACAAAAATTGGCAAATTATCATGAATCTTTAGTGGTTTACCATTCTTTTATGAGATTAACTAATTGAATAATAATAATTTATATCGAAAACACACTTACTGGACAGTTAAACAAAATTAAAATTATTTCAATATTTGTCACAGAAAAAAAGTTCTGGCCCACTATAAGAGAGTAAGAAATTGACACTATTTCAGACTTCTAAGGGGTGCCAAATAAAAGTAAAGCAACAACAAATTAAAACGGCAACGGATTTTCATATTTGACACCTAAAAGATCATCCTCAAATTTTTTCATCAAAATAAAAAATCATGCAGCGCACTTTTAAATTAATTTTTGGTGTTTTCATTTGGATTGACTCATCTGCGATTTTGCTAAAATTGGGATACGTATTCAAAGATACTTTTTTAAGAGTTTTCTTGGCCAAAATTTAAAAAAAAATTGTCCATAACTGTTTACAAAATTCATTGATTTGGCAATTTCTTCAATTTACTTTAAAAAAAAAAAAATTCTTTGCTTTTATTGTTTTATTTAATTTTCTATTAAAGTGGCATTTTCAAGGATATGTGGGTCCTCTTCAAAAAACCATCCAGGGGCGGCTCGTGGGTGTATAGGAGGCTACATGAGGTTAATTTTGTCTAAATTCGAATAAACTTCCACGTGACCTTTTTTAAAATGGCCGATAGCCCTACTAAACCATTATAAAAAAATAAAACAAACAAAGAAAATATCAAGGCAATCTTAACCCAATTGCAAAACATAACATAAATTCGTTTTTTAAAACTTCAAAATATATATCTGGCACTTAAAAATATATTTTTTTTCCAATAAGTAAAAAAATTAATTATTCAAAAAGTAATAATTTTGTCGCTTTTGTTTACAAAAAATTACATCAGTTTTTGCCAATTTTGAACCGCCTAACCCCCCTGAATTCTCCACTGGTGTTCGCAATTTTCCGACATACTTTATAATGAATATTATGGATTATTTAATAAAATGTTTATTTTTGGCAGAATACATAAATAGTTTACCGGCACAACCAGACGAAAATCATTATTTGACCCTAATGGAAAAGTTATGTCTAATAAATATTGAATCAAAATAACTATGTAAATTAGGGGGTTGAAAAAATAAGATTTCGTTTTTTTAACTCCCTATAAAGTCTCTTGACAAATTTACCTATCAAATACATCTGTGATTTTGATGAAATTGGGAAATACATATTTATGCACGTATTAAAAAATACCCTTATTTATTGAGATTTTTTTTGACCGATAGTCTATAACTTTTTACAAAATTGATCGATTTGGGCATTTTTGTTTTCTATAAAAATTTATAAAAATTCTTTGCTTTTGTGGTTTTGTTTAATTTTCTAGTAAAGTCGAATTATTAAGGATATGTAGGTCCCAAGGTAAGTCCTTTTAAAAAAAATTGGCCATTTTTTCTGATTTTTTAAAATTTCGAAAATTTTACATGACGTAGTTATAGTTATAGTATACATATGTATGTATATAATATACATATTTTCGAAATTTTATTATTATATACATTATTTTATTATTATACACATTCTTTAAAACCCTTACTTCAGAAATGCAGTAGTTTTTAATTTTTCAATATTCTCTTGATAATAATAGTCCGGGAGGCAGTGAAGATTTTTATCTTCTTATTTTCCCAGTTTGTGAATGTCATTAAGTTTGTCCAAATGGTGACACAAAACGACAATTTGTGTGTCTGGCTAAAATTTTCGGATGGGTTCACTAGATGAGCCAAAAAGTCAAGTCCACTTATTTTCCCAGTCATAAATATTTCACATTAATTAAAGTGAGTCATTTTATTAATGGAAATAACAGTCTGGCACATCCCAAGTGAAGGAAAGTCAGTCTGGCTGAAAATTTGCGGAAGCAAAAATTTGACCGGTTTTTGAAATACGTAGCTCTTATTTTCCCATGCTTAAAATTTAACCCATTATTTGGTACTGTCATAAACTATAATCAAAATTAAGTCTGGCTGATTTATGAAATTGGCAAATTGTTCTGGCGGCATCTTGAAAATCGTAAGAATTACAAAAATTTTCCCGGATTTGAAAATTTGTCACATGATAAATAATACTATAATTTCGTAGAAAAGCCCCGCCAGACTCACAAGTCAGATAGTTAAATGAGGAGAGGAAGCGACGGGTGCTTATTTATTTAATTTAATTTATTTAGGTAATAATAAGGGAGATACAAAAGACTGTCAAAAGATCGATTTTGTAGAGAATCCTACAAAAAACAACTGCACAAAATTTCTCGTATCTCTGAAAGTTATTCGCGAATAAAGGTTTTTGGTGGCGGACGGACTGACATTTTTTTTAGCCATATTTAAATTTTGCTTTACACAAATTATTTTCTTATCATACATACATTATGAAAAGTAAAAACATGTAGAGATGACAACAATCGCCTGTATAATTGAACATGCCAAATTTAGCGCGCCTGTGGAGGGTTGGACGAGTCTGGCAAGGCTTTCGGAGTGTTCCACATTAGCCAGACTATATTTGCAGCTGTAATTATAATATAAACTATCATCTCACAAAATATTTAGGACTGCGAAAATAAGGGCAATGGTTTTGATAATTTTTCCACCTGCCAGACATATTACCCATACTCACAGATTAGCCAGAATATTTTTTTTCTTATGTTCACTATATCTCTCACTAATGGAATTATTTTTATCACTGGAAAAAAAAGTGCAATATATTTGTACTTTATAACGCATTTTCCGCCTTAACCCATCGGAAAACCCCCCCTAAATATATATAAATTTTGCTCAGAATAACAAACCCAATAATTGTATCGGTGTTTGCCGACTGGGAAAATAAGTACCGAAAATCTTCACTGCCTCCCGGACTATAATTATCAATTATTGTTAGATATGGCATCATAGCCTGGTAATTTACCGAATATATAAGTAAAATTTTTAACCAAAAATTATTACAAACGAATCGAAAATATTCTGCATTGCAGAGTCTACAACCTTGATATACGATAAACCGGGAATGGGAACTCAAAAGTTGCATTATGTGATTCCAGAAAATATATATAAATATAATTTTCATAACGAAAAAATATTTTTTAATATGTAAAAAAATTGAAGGACCCACACATCCTTAAAACGCGACTTTAATAGAAAATTAAACAACATGACACCATAATCAAAGAATTTATTAAATTTAATTTTTTCAAAAGGTACATTAAAGTTTAAATAATTTTAAAAAAATGTCCAAATCGATCAATTACAAAAAGTTCTGGAAGATAAAAAAAACGTCAATAGTTAAGAAAAAATTATATTTGAAAAAATAATCCATTTAATATGCAGCATTGCTCCAACCATGTAAAATATATTCGTTAGTTCGCGATAAAATCCTAACATTTTTATACTGCACATTTATTAAACTCCAACAACGCTTTCTGACCAATGGTTATGGCTTTTTACCAATTGAATTTAAATTAAATTGCTACGTAATTTAAGCAGTCTAGACTCATTCAAACGCAAATAAGCTATAGCAATGCGATTCCTATATTCCTATATCTACCTTTCAGACCAGCCACCTATACGTTAAACTTCTTGCATGCATTTGACATATTACATCTGTACAGTATTATCAAGATATACCGTATAAGGGGAAAAATTTCCCAAGTGTACCACCGAAAAAATGATCATGTTAAGAAAGTATTTTTAATTTACTATTTGATTATACCGGAGGTTACATTTAAAATAAAAAGTTTTTAACGTTATATTATATTTTAAACACTTTTTTTTCAAAAAATTTCTTAGTATAGTAAGTTCACTCAGAATTTTATAAAGAATTTAAAAATGTAAAAGTATTTATATGGGGTGTTCTATTTGAAATAACAAAGTTGATGTTACTTTTGGTTAATACGGAAATGGCATGATTAAAATATTTTAGAAAAATAAACTTAAATGGATTATTTATAAACGATTTTAAAATTTTAAATAGATATCTTTACTCGTTCCCTAGAAACTTCTAATGAAACACGAAGGTGAAACACCCTGCATATTTGTATATAGTGTATTAAGTATTAAAATAAAAAATAATTATAAAATCAGTTAGAAAATTGGCTGTCTTTTTTTTAATCAAATTTAATAAAAGCACATTTTTGCAAGCCAAAGAATCAAACTTTTTAATAAATTTAATTTTTTTTTAATTAAAAATTAATTCAACATTGCAATATTATTAAATTTTTTTTCACTGAAAAGAAAAAAATCAATTATTTTTTTAAGTTCGTCAAACAAAAAATGTAAACTTTGCACACCTGTAATTTGATAACCAGAGGGTATGAAGCAAAATCCAGAATTAGTAGTTAATGACTACAATTTGGTAAAATTTAAAACAAGATTAGGAAAGTTAATATTTATTTTCGGATATTCGGATATTTTGACCCATATATCAATTCTATTAAGATCATGTTGTTCATATGAAACGATCCATTATGTTGAGCGATTTTGAACCAATTATACCAAACAAAGTATAAATCTTATGAATTTTTTTACAGTTAATATTCTGAAAAATGTTCCATATAGGTAAATAAAATTATTATCATTTACACCTAATGTTTTTTGTGATTAACTCAACTTAAGTAAAAAAAGTAATGAACATCAATCTTGAAAAATACTGACAACAGACTACCTGCTGTTTGCTTTCCCAAATAAGCAAACAAAAATCGCATAAAGCGCTAAGAAAATAAATCAATGCGAAAAACAAAAGAAGACGAGGAAAGCGCGCTGCGTTGGCAACGGGAAAATTGCCTGGCAACGCAAACAAATCAAAGAAGCATAAAATAATTTAGGTGTATGCACGCCTATGAAATTTTGCATGTGGTACGCCACGCTAAAAATACGAAAATATGGAGGACAAGAAGGCCTTGAAAACAAACGACCAAGTCACGGATGACTCGACTAAAGAGAAGAAAAAAAGGGCTGATGCTTAGTAAGTATAGGTTATAGGTTTAGATGTATGAGGTAATTACAATGTTGTTTAATATGCTCCTATTTTTACCGATTTTGAATGTAAGCACTTTTTATTTACCCACATAGAGTAGTTTTTTCATAGAGATATTGTTTTGTATTGTAAGTAAAGGATTCCATGTGTGTTAAAAAGGAATTAAAACCGTCGGTTTCAATATTAAAATACAATGGTGGTTTGTTCTGAATTATTAATAAAAACTTTGCTTTTTAAGGTAATAAATCAATTTATTTTAATCAGTATCTGTTAAACCATTTCCTAAATAACATATACGCGGTATTTAGAATGTCATTTACAATTAAATTATGCATGAAACTGCTTACAGCTCCACTTTCTTTCATTGTCTAAGGTTTTTTAGACAGTCATTGTCAAAACTTTCATCCTTCAATACAAGTTTTTGATATTTTTACACAACTTTTTACCAACGGGAATGTCGTTAAATAAAGAACCGTCCAACACTGTCATTGTAGGTTTAAAAAAAAAGAAAATTAAGCCAAAGAAAGACCTAAACCTCAGCAATGATCCCAGCTTTTCCGACCTCAAACTCCCATAGTAAAAACCATTATATATTTCCAATAAAAACTTTTCAACTTTGTATTTTTCAGTCGAGTAATTTGTTCGAGGCGAACCATAAAAACCAAACAAATGCAAGTAAGACAATTCACGAAGGAGTTGGGCCTCCACGAGATCCTCCAAAGCCAGGCTTTGGATGGAGTTAGACTGCATAGGGAGTTTTCTAATCCTATTCTGGAGTACCCTCATGCTTCCGAACTTATAACCATGACTCCGGCAGAAAAAAGACAACTGGAGGAGATATTGAAATTTGGTTTTTATCAAAAAGTACACGTTGGAAAATGTCCTCCTTTGGTTCACGGTATAAGGCCTGGTTGGGAGGAAAGAAAATCAAAATGAATGAAGATTTTTTTGTAAATTTTATGTGTATTATCACATTTGCAATTACACTGTAGGTAAATTTTCAACTCTTCAAGAGTTACTCTTGAAATATCACAGCTAAACGCTCGCATACGTAAACATAATTTTTGGTCGTAGATTCTAAATCCGTGCTCGGTTTAGCTGTATCAGGTCTAAAAAAGTTTTTCCTATTGACAATCCAATCCCGGGACACACTGTATACTGGTATATTATAATTTGTAAAATAATATATTTCACCTCTTGTGCCAACATTCCTATACTTTTTAGTTGGTTTAATATAATATAATATAATATCTTTAATTATAGTCAATAAAAAAATCAACATTTTGAATGTCCTAAATTATTTAAAAAAAAACCTCAGGAACACGTGTTCTTTTGGATCAATTTACCTCAAATTTTGCAAGAATTTGTATTTTTTTAATTTGGAACCTGCAGTATCTTAATAGTTTCATGATATCATTCTTTTTTATAAATTTATACAGGGTGTTTCCTAATGCGATGCTCCCAAACTTAAAAATTACCTGATACAGCTAAACCAAGCACATATTTGTAATCTACAACCAAAAATTAAGTTTACGTGTCCGACCGTTTAGCTGTGATATTTTCACAGCCCTACAGAGTTATTTAATAAAATGTATACAAAAAAATTGTTTTTATTTGAATTTGGAAGAAAAAGTCAAAAATTTGGAGATTCGTTGGATAATACAAAAGTTAGATACTAAAAATAAATTGTATTATTGCCCACCTAAAAGTAATTTTTTAAATTTAGTACTTTTTTGATAACTTTAAAGGTTACTTAAAACTTAAGCATTGATTACGATTTGTAAAACTACAATATATTTTTAATATACGGACTGTATAATAACCATAACTAAACATTTTACCAACTATTTTAATTTCATGCGCGCGGACACAAATGATCTTCCCCAATTGAAAATAAAGTAGTAAATAAAGCCAGACTGATCTAGCATTGGATAACAGCAATGCTCGTTGAGCAATTTGTGCATCTGTAGTCTTTCCTGACGCAAGTCGGTTTCATATAGATGCGAAATGCGAATTGCGAAATATTCGCATTTCACAACTCCTATTTCATATAGATGCGAACTATTTAGGGACATTGTTTTCCCTAGGCGATACTTTTCATGCTATTTTAGGTAGCTACTAAAATAGTAGTTACTTAACGTAACTATAAAGGTAAAATAAGAAACATTAATATAGGTACCTTAAAAAACTCTTTGTTCATTATAAAAAACAAAAAAAACTTCAAACACTTATTTAAACAGTTTGAATAAAACTAAACATAACAAACAATACGATACAAACGAAATAAACACAAATGGCGTAGGTATAATAAGCAATTGCATTAATGTACATGCGAAACGCATGCGCATTACGCCAAATTAGTGCGATTTTTAAAAAATAATGGATCAATCTCAAGATTCCCGCCCCCTAGATTCAAATCTTGCGAATTCGAAGGGTCTGTCGAAACGTCAAACGCTTTTCCCGCCAAATCAAATGGACCAATGGAAGCATTTTTTAAATTCGCATTTCTCATCTAATATAAAACGGTCTTTATTTTGAGAGTTATAACCAAGAAGACTAAATAAAGGAGAATTATACTTCTCCTTTATTTAGTCTTCTTGGTTAAGACATATTTTTAAAATAATATTACTTATGTCTTATTGGACAAAACTACAGCTTTCAATGAAGCAAGATTGACAACGCAAGAAAATTAATGTCACCAAAATGCCAAATTTTGACATCTATTTGTAAGTTTACGAATTGTCGTTTTAATTAAAAAATGTTTTCGAATTCCTATCAGAGCGGTTTTGTGTCGATTTTCTATAGCGTAGGGAGCAACCCTCTTGCAATATGGGACAAACAAGTAAGAAAAACTAATTGGACTCCTCAAATATAAACAAAATCTTCACGTGTGTAGGTAAAAAACGGGCACATACGCCGCATAATTGACGACGAAGTGAAATCTCTGGTGCTGGAAGTGGCGGGAACGAACGTGGCCACCACGTTCATCACGTGTCCGAACGACCCTAAACAATCTTTGGGTATTAAGCTGCCCTTCCTGGTGATGATCATAAAAAATACAAAAAAGTATTTTAGCTTCGAGATACAGATTAAAGGTAGGTAACGATGAGTTTTTTGTTGGAAGCATAAATAGGTAAATGGGTGGGGTTTAATTAAGTTTTTTTTTAATTAAGTGATGCTTAAGTCATTACCATTAAAGAAAAATCAATTAAAATGTATACACTGTGGAAAAGATGTACACACAGAAAAAACGCTAGCATATCATGAATGGGTGAGCCATTAAACCAATGGGATCTTGTAATCCGTATTCCTGAATAACAGTTCCTATAATACCAATAGGTAGTTAGCACTTGGTTTATGATCGTTTACTGTTTTTAAATTAACAACAAAAGTTATCGCTTCTTAATCTATTGATATTTATATTGATATTTATTTGTTAAAATGTTAGAATGTTATTGCATTAAATACTAATTTGATTTATTTAATAACGTTACTATTGTATGTATACTATGTATACATTTAACGCAATAAATTCTTTGACATTTAGGCAAAATATTTCACTATTTCGGTTTAATGGTAAGTAATTGAGCAAATAACAATTTCGATTGCTTCAATTTTAATGCATTCAATGGCAAATAACAATTTCGATTGCTTCAATTTTAATGCATTCAATGACAGCGCTGTTCTTGGTACTTTGTTAGATTTTTTTCTGTGCACTATACAATACACAGTTCAACACTATTACCCTCCCATGAAAAATTTTAAAAGATTAATGTTTCGATATACACATTTAATTTTTTCCCGTATTTTCGGCCGGGTTGTATTTTCGGCCGAGGTAGTAAGAAAAATAGTATACACTATACGGGCAGAAAGTGTGAGAGCCCTGAACTGCACGCCATGATGCCCTCGGCTTCGCCTCGGGCATTATGGCGCGCAGTGCAGGAATCTCACACTTTCTGCCCTTGTAGTGTAATATACTATTAACAATAAATATGCTAATCTACACAGAAATGCAACAATGTGCATTTGTATGTGCATTCAAAATATGTATATAAAAATAGCTCTATCACACAGATATAATTAAATTCATTATAAATATACAAACAAAAACATAACAATACATACTCCATTTATTAAAATTACAATTAAAAATTATATACATAAAAAACAGCAATGTATTTATAACGGGTTTGTGGGTACATTTTAGTTATTTTTTAAATAAATTTGTTTATTCACAGTAGATCTCGATAGGTTTAAAACATATATTTTACATACTTAGTTTTTTAAAAATATTTTTTGATTTGGCTTGTTTAATATTTTTTGGTAAAGAATTGTAAATTTTTGGGCCCAGGTATTTACTACATCTTTGACCAATGGTTTTTTTCATTTTTGGGACTGGTAGATTAGTTTGATGACGTTTATTTGAAATTTTAAACATGAAAATAGAGATTAAAAAAACGTACACTTCTCACACCGTTCCCCGAAATCACGTCATTTAATGTTTTTATACAGCCATTCTTATTATTTTAACATTAATTCTCTATTTTGTCATTTTTTTCAAATATTGTGTTTTTCCATAATACAAAAATTATACTTAAAAAATAATAATTTTAATTTTTTAAAAATAATTAGGTACCATTTTAATTCTTTTATTTTTTTAAATAAAACAACAGATTTGTATTTATCTTATATTCAATAGGTATATGTTGGAAAATATCTTAAACTTTTAGTTTGACAATTATATTATATTTATATTACTTGATATATTGCGTAAATGTGCAACACCCTGTATAAAATTTAATTAATTTTAAAATGTAGCTTAAATTCTTGTCCATTTTTTTATCAAAATAAAAATAATAATAAAAGTTTTAAATTTTAAAAGTATTAAAAAAATATTCTTTAAACATTTTGTAAATTTTCTTAAAAAAAATATAAAATGATTTTCTTAAAGACTCTCACTCTAAACAAACATAAAATTCTATGTCTTAGCTCTGGCAACAATGGTATCCATATAGTTAATTTAAATATTATTGGCTAAGAGCATAATGCGCAAAGGAACGTTCAATTGTTCCTGATTTAGGTTGGCAAGCCCTGCAATATTTAGCGCAGCCTTCTATGCGCTTTGCTTGGCCACCTACAAATCAGAATTAATTGATGCGGTTAGCAGATAACGGCCACCTTCGCAACATGAACCTGCAGCAGGCCGGCTATTTTATAAAGCGCGTCGTTCCCACACCTCCCGTAATTACAGGCTTACAACTCAAACAGTTAACGCCTTAAAATTTAATGATTTGGAGAAGTTTTAGTCAGTCATCGAAGAAGATTGTAATACCCTTTTAATGCATATAAAGGTTTTACCAATAATCGGTAATAACTAGTTTGATGGGCAGATTAAAATATTATTTATTCAATTTTTGATATGAACAAAATTTTATTTAGGTGTACGTATACTATAGTGTTATTAAAACAAGCATTTGAGCAAATTTTTGAAAAAATTTAAAATTTAAAATGTTATATAAGGTGACCAACTTTCTAAAATGAAAAACCAGGACACATCTCCTCGCTCTTCCAAAAAAGAAACAAAATTTATTATTTAAAAAAAGATGTGCTAATAACGTCAAAAAATATCATTTTTTAGGATTTGTTTTATTAAAAGTGGTCTGGGCTCAGGTTAAACATTAATTTAACAAACTGAATTTTTGGGAGTACCATGGTAAATTAATGTTTAAACTGAGCCCAGACCACTTTTAATAAAACAAATTACTCTTCTAAATGTACTTCCAAAGTTTTAGATTTTTAAATTAATTTTTAACCTGAGCCCCGAGTTTTTTTTTTTTAAATAATAGAACAAATCCTAAAAAAGTGCCAAATGTTTTCTGTATATGAAACTTACATGAACCTTTAATTATTCTTTGGTTAAGGCCATATTTTAAAAATAAGCTCATTGTAATTCCTATAGTTTTAAAAGAGTTTTTACCACAAATAAATAATATTAATACCTAATGGTCAGTGATGTAATGTATCGAGATACATGTATCTAGATACTGGATCTAGATACATTTTATGTACCTAGATACGTATCGAGATACTTAAGAAAATCAGGATCTACTTTAGTATCTAGATCCTTTTGAAAGTATCTAGATCCTTAGATACAAGATACATTTTATTTTACCCAACCTGATTGCAACTCCACACCGTGTGGGCCACACGGAAAATGAACATCCAATGGATATACTGTATGGATATCCAGGATATATACCTACATTGGATATCTCCCGTAAGAGATGAACAATACGAAAACCGTAGTGCTGAGCATAGACTTCCGTACCCTAATCTATAAACTGAACTACTGTTTTCGTATTGTTCATCTTTTACGGGAGGAAGGAAAGAAGGAAGGAAGGCAATCTATAAATCCGGCTTAACGCTTTTTCCCACCCTCGATGGATTTACAGGAAAAAGCATCTGGCAACACTGTACCGAACCCAGAGACCTAACGATAATTTTGAATTTGTACTACAAATTTTGTAGTAAGCTTTCATATGGCGCGTAAATATAAAATTTATTTCCGTTTTTCATGGATATTTCGTCAATTTTATCAAAACAGTTTTATTTTATAGTTAACACGCTTGTTTATAAGGTCCAAATTTTTTTTTCATTTAATTTTTAAGTTTTTTTAACATAGTATCTGGAAGTAACTTAGATACTTTTTGAATGTATCTGTATCTGTACCCAGATACTTTTTGGAAAATGTATCGGTATCTGTACCCAGATACATCTACCAGAGAGTATCTGTATCGGTACCTAGATACTGAAAAAAATGTATCGGTTACATCACTGCTAATGGTTGTTAAATTTAAATGAGTAAGTAGGTGCATTTTTAATTTTACAAATTTTAGAATTCTTATTACAAACAAAATACAGCCAAAGAATTTATTTAGTAGAAAGGTTTAATTAATAAGGTCAAAGTTGGGGCAATTGCGAATAAAATAAATTAATAATGGCAAAGAAAACCTGGTTTTCTTTGTTATAAAGGAGTATCTACCAAAAAAATCAAGTAAACTTTTTGTAAATATATATTTTGATTTTAAATATTTTCTATTTTTATTTATTTAAATATTATGGATACCAAGTATTACCTAATAAACAGTTTTTAAAATAAAATTTTTATATTTTCTTTATACAGGACTTTATTACGTGTACAACACATTGCTTTGTTTTTTTCTTGTAAATTTATGAATGTTTTAGTATTACATTTCACGATAATATATTAACTATTGTAAAGTTTTTATTAGGGTGGATTAAATGTGGTTTGTTTATATTTATTAGGTCGGATATTCCACGATAATCGTAGTATGCGCGACGATATAGAACAGAAATAATGCGTGGAAAATCGTAAAACGTAAAGTTTTCCGGCGTGCGTCGGAATTTCCCTGTTCGTCGACAGGGGTTGAAAACAAAACTTTTCCAGCCTTTAGGGCCGGCTACATCGATCGATAAGACACCTACATGCTTTATTATTCATTAACGTTCACCTTTTTACTCGTTTCAACCTCCCACAGAAATTCTATTACCATAACGACTTTGTATAAATCTCGAATATGTGATCAAATATTGTTCGAGCGTAATCATTTAAATGTCACCTCTTCAGACATTTAATAATTTTAAAACGTAATATAATAATATAAAAATTAAAATGTATAATAATTGTAAAGAAAAATAGTCGAGAGAGTAGTAGAGAACGGTCATAACAATAAAGTTTGGGATTTTTGGGGTCAAAACACGCTGGTCATTGTAATGCGCTGGCGGAACGGCATAAAGCTTTACAATTGCGGTTTTAGTCTGCCAGAGACGTTGAACAAATGGCACGGCCTCGTGTCCCAAAACATGACATAAATTGTCATATGCAAACTAGGCACGTTTCATAAAAGAAAAATACAATCAATTGGGCTTTTTCACGTAAAGTTATCATTGGCATAACAATTCGACCGTACAGAAAAAAAGTGGCACAACTCAAAAAAAAAATCTGGAATAAATGCAGAAGCATTAAATTTTCAAAACTTGTCTTTAGACAATCGGAATCGGAATCGTATAAAACACCAGTTCTTAATGAGTAAAGCTTGAACACAAATGAACATAAACATAGACCACAGATTAAATATACTTTTCTCTTTGTAACCGAACACGATTTAGTATTTTGAAAATACTATTTTCCATGATCTTAGCAAAACACGTCGCGTGGTTTTCACCGAGTACAATTTTGGTCAAAATTGAGATATACACACCAACGCAAAAAAATCTGAATCGTTAAGTTTGCAAATCTTCGCTATTGACCTGAAGATGGCAGGATAATCGTTAATTTCCACATACTTCCTACCATGGTACCATCCACAGACCTGTGGTACCATCCTTCCTATTAGTTCTAAGAGAACACAGTAGGGTAAGGTGGGGTAGGTTCGGACATGGGGCACCTCCGGACAAATCAAATTTACCGCCTTAAAGTGCTACGAGAGTTTCCATTTTGACAGTAAATATCCTTCTACACTAATAGTTTTGTGGTCCGTACATGTTTAGCGACTTTGATCACTCGACAACTATTTATTTGAGAAAATATAAAAACATAGTTATTCTTATAAATTTTATTAGGGCTATCGTAAGCTTTCTTGGCTTGAGAACACCAGTAAGGTAAGTTTTATACCTTTTACCGCAGATATTAATATCTTTGGCGATACATAACCTCATAAAACAGCATCAGTTAACCATGTGCAAATTTTTATTTTGATATCTATGTATTTCTGGAACATGGGGCACGTTCGGACAAATCGGGTGGGGCAGCTTCGGACTGTCCGAATGTGCCCCATTTTACAAATAAAACCCAGTTTTGATTGATTTAACTTTCTGGGATGGTACGTAACTATTTTAAAAAGAAAAAAGGTAAAAGGTAAATCCAGAATTTATACAAGCACACCGGAAAAGGAAAGAATTCAAGAATTGGAAACAATGAGAAAACAAAAGTTGGAGAAAAAAACACGAAAAGAAAAGCATTACAAAGCGAATGTGAAGTGAAGAAAAATGATACAAAAGTTGGGGAGAAGAGCAAAGGAAAGGCGCCGAAAAAAAAGTTAAAAAAAATAGAAAGTGACTCCTCGGATTCTGATATAGATTTACCACAGAATATTGTGCATGAGACAAAAATTTTTGATTCCGATTCTCTGGACGAGTTTCAAGACAATGACGATGTGCTCATGCTATTGCATGATGACGTGATCCATTGTCATGATTATTTGCTTGTCAAATACCCGACCAACAGAAGGACACTTCATTATATCGGCAAGGTAGAATCTTGCAATAATGAAGGCTCTTACGTCTTAAATTTTTTGAGGAAGTATAAAAGCGGTTTCCGCTTTCCGGACTTGCAAGATATTTCGACTGTTTCCAGAGAAGATATAGTTTCGAAAATACCGAAGCAGCACCAAAGGCAGCACCAGGAACTTCAAAGATGTGTTCGCTCTTTAAATTTAATGTCAATTTTGATGGTTATAATGTTTAATAAACTTTTTCTAATAGAGTCTCTTATTCGTTCTAAAAATAAATAGGTTCCAAATTTTCTCAGGCCTGTCCGAAAGTACCCCACTACTTGTCCGAATGTGCCCCAATATGGGGCAGATTCGGACAAATGCATTTTTTTAAGTAAAATATCACCAAACGAAAACCACTTAATATTTTTTGCTTAAGATAATGCTAAAATGTTGGAAATAGACTAAGCTATCCGTAGTATTTGCATTAAGTCTAAAAAAATTTGTTATCTTTGAAATATTAATTTTTGAAAAAACGTGTCCGAACCTGCCCCACCTTACCCTACTGTGAAAGATTTTATTTATAAGCTACGGTTCCAGAAAATCAGTTGAGGCACATAATTTTCTTATAAATGGATGTGCATTAAAGATAAGGATTACATAAAATCATTGTTAAATTAAAACCGTAAAGCAAAAATTCAGAAACAAAATAACCTATTTTTTTTATTTATTTATTTCTTAATTTATTTTACACTATAGTTCTTAAAAAAACAGTTCTTAAAAATTGGTACCGCTTTATTTCATTTAATTATTCCATTTCATTATTTAATCCTTTATCAATTACCATTTATACCTATCATAGATAATATATAACTAGGATATCTACCCATTCTAAAAAACTTTACTTCCAAACATCTTGAGTTTATATTTTTAGACCATAAATTTTAATTAATATTTAAACGCATTTTTTATTACTTTTAAATAAAACTAGCGCATAGATGTGTTTAATTTCTCAAGTTTTTTACTTATTTTTATTTTCTATTCACTTAATTACAAATAAAACTTAAACGTGGCACTATAAATCGCGTTTTATTATTTTGATTTGTAAGGTTCCATTGTTCCAAGTACGTATGTAGTGTTTTCAAAAAGTTCTTCTAGAATATAAATCATATTAACATATTTGTCTTAATGCATCCCATAAAAATTGCTCTACTGTAAAATACACTAAAATGTCCTTGAAACCTTGTGGAACTAAAAACCAACTTTTGGTTACCCAGTCCATAGGAAATTCCAAAATTTTGTTATTTAAATAACAAGCAAAAACTGAAACAAGTAGCAATAATGGATTAATTCATAATTATGAAATACTTAATCCATAATTATAAAATACTTTCCTTTTGGGCGACCAGTAAATGGCAACCTAGAGGGTTAAAATTTGGTACTGATATTATTACATAATCACCTACAAAAATGAGCTATGTGGAGGCAAAAATCAGCAACGTTTTTTCTATACAATTGTGGACCACCCTAATTTTATTAGATAGCTTTGGGTCTATAATTAAATTTAATGGGGAGAAAAAACGAAGTGAAAATAAAATAAAATTCTGGTTTAAGCCCTAATATACATTTTAAAATCCTCATCCTGAAAGACTGTTATACCTTTTTAGATGATAAAGACATGCATAGAAGATTTAGAGTATCAAACTTTCAATCCACCACAAAAGTTTACCCATTTTGCACGACAATGCCTATTGGTCTTAGTGCTGGTTGGAACCAAGTCCAATTTAATCTGGCCGATTTCACTAAACGAGCATACGGTAATAAACCATAAAATACAACCAAAAATGCAGAAGAAAAACTTTTTCCATCGCAGGTTCGACATATTTAGAAACTACCAGGGTCCAGATACACGCTAATGTACGAATCAGAAGAATTTACTTCTCTGATATGCTCTACTCTGAAGAAGACATGCCTGATGAGTATAGATTGTACAAACCAACACCAAGTTCGGAAAAAATCAAGGAAAAAGCTGAAGCCGATGCTGCTGAAGCTGCCAAAGCAACTAAAGGAGAAGAAACAAAACGTATAAAGAAAACATCACAATTATATCCACAACTTTTTAAATTCCCTAAATTTAAGCACCCGAAGCAGCAGAAGGAGCAGAAGGAGGAGCAGATGGAGAAGGAGCGGAAGGAGCAGAAATCCCACCTCCTCCTTCACCAGCTGAACCCGTGGACGAATCTCAGCCACCAGTTGAAGAAGGCGTTGCTCCACCTCCCGAAGCTGAAGCACCTCCAGCTCCTGAATCTGAAGTAGCCCCAACAATGGAGGCCCCCACTGAGGCACCCCCCGCAGAAGGTAAATATACCATTTAGAAGAACTTAATTTTAATATTGTTTATAGAAGCTGCCCCTGTAGCAGCCGAAGGCGGTGAAGCTCCACCCGAAGCTGCACCAGAAGCTGCTGAGGCACCAGCTGATGCCCCAGCTGAAGCTCCAGCTGCTGAAGTTACTGAAGCACCTCCGGCCGAAGAAGCTGCACCAGCTGAAGCTCCACCAGAAGCTCCACCTGAAGCTGAAGCGCCGGCGGAAGCGCCACCTGCGGAGCCAGCAGCTGAAGAACCACCGCCACCTGTTGAGGAACCCGCCCCCGAAGCTCCGCCAGAGTAACTGATATTTGTAACCATATGTATTATATTTTTTTAATAAATTGTTTTAAAATGGATTTTTTTTGGTAGGCAATGACAAGGCGTGTGTGTATACTGGGTTGCGGCGTTTTAGTATTTGTTTCTCTCATCCACAATCCATGTTTTTGTGTTGCGATTAATTTTATATAGTTTTGAGATTCTTTAAAAACTGTTAAAATAAATTATAAAACCAATAGGATATTGGTGACTTTATTTTTCCCCTAAAATTATGCGATGGTAGCAATTGTGTCACTAGTAATGTCAAAGTCAAAATTGTCAAAGTACACAGGTGGCGAATTGAATAATAAAAAACATTAATCATGAAATTCTAGGTAAACAAACATGAACTCGAACAAATTATATTGAAATCATGTCCATCACGAGACAAAAAGTTACGTAACTAGTGCACAATATGAAATTTAAGTTGTAAATTGTTAAATAACATGGAATACTATCAACTCAAGCTAGAGGAGAAAAAAGAATTGAGTAAAACAGAACCAACGCCAAATAAAATGTACATAAGGAATATTGAATGGGACATGATGGACAAGACGAAATTTTTCCCTTTATCCATGTTAAGTTCTTTTTCTGTTCGATGTGCTCTGTATCCTTTGACTCTCATCAAAACTAGGCTCCAGGTTCAAAAGCACAATGCAATGTACACAGGTAAATTAAACACATTGTATGCAACAAATTTAAAGCTTATACCTTTCAAGTTACATTTTTACAACACTGATATTATATCTATTTATATTATATTATAATCATAATGTACCTATAATAGGTACATTATGATTAATTCATATTGAAAAAAAAATTAGGAACACGATTCCTTTCATAAAAATTAAAGATTTTTTAATATCTTCAATAACAGAACTAACTGTACAAAAAAATTATTTTTCTACTCCTATTGCATAATATTGAGATTTGGGTTTTTACATATATAATGGTAACCATAACCATAAAGATTTATTTTTAAATATTTTACCAGAACAAATATAAAAACAAATCAGGGATGCCACTGGGATAAATAAATTAAATATAAACGCATCAAGAACATTCCATTATTTTTAAAAATGGACACAAAATCAGAATAAGGATGTTTTAGATATTAGATAATTTTATAAAAAAAAACCACAATTCACTTTGCATACAAGAAATTTTTTTTAGGCATGTTTGATGCTTATGGTAAAATTTACAAATACGAGGGACTCTCAGGGTTATACAGAGGATTTTGGGTGTCTTCTGTTCAATTGGTTAGCGGTAATATAACTTTAACCCTTAAAAACACATTTTTCATTTTCTTGCTATTATAGGGGTTTTTTATATATCAACATATGAAGGTGTACGTCACTTGCTAAGTGCATACACAGATAACTCTCGTATCAGAGCATTGATAGCCGGTGGCGCAGCCTCCGTAGTCGGTCAAACAATAATTGTTCCTTTTGATGTGTTGAGCCAGCATTTAATGATGTTGGGGTTAAGAACGCAAGGTGGGGGAGTAAGTATTTCAAATGATCAACAATTTTTTTAAACTCAACGTTTGCTTTGTAACCATAATTTTATCGAAATGCTCATTTTCAGGAAGCATTTAATCCTTTAGGAATAAAAACCAGCGCCGGAAGAAGTAAATTCTCCATTACAGTGGACGTTGTGCGCAAAATATTCAAAGTGGACGGCCTACAAGGTTACTATAGGGGCTATTTGGCCAGTTTGGCTGCCTATGTACCTAATTCGGCCCTGTGGTGGGGATTCTACCACATATACCAAGGTAATCATTTCAAAAAAACATTTCTTTTTTCTTGTAGTATTTTCGTAAGAATGTTTAAAATCATTCCCAAACCATTTTATTTTGTTGTAGACGAGTTATTTGCAATAATGCCTAGTTGGGTGTCGACCCTTTTGATACAGTCGACGGCGGGTACCCTGGGGGGGTTTACCACGACAATAATAACAAATCCCCTGGACATAGTGAGAGCCAGGTTGCAAGTACAAAGACTAGAGTCGATGAAGACCGCGTTCAAAGACTTGTGGCATGAGGAGGGCCTGAGGATGTTTACCAAAGGTCTTAGCGCCAGATTGATCCAATCAGCAACTTTTAGCTTTAGTATAATACTTGGTTACGAAACAATAAAGAGAATATCAGTAAATGAAGAATACAAACAATATGTAAAATGGTGATATAGTTTATATATTTTCAACAAAAAAAAAAGAACAAATGTTGTTGTCTACGGTCGTGTAGAAGTCTAGTTAATTGTTAGGAAATTTTATTTTTGTTACAATCAAACGGGTTGGTTGATGAAAGATTTTATGTTTATTTATATACCTACATAATTTTGTGTAATAGTGAGAGAGGCAATGCGCAATTTTTGTTGTCTTATTTATCAAAAACAATTTTCCACAATAATTAAATTTTATTCAACAAATCTAGTCAATTTGTTTATTTATATTATAATGTGAGTAAATAAAGTTTGTTTTTATGTTAATGTTCACTGATATGAAACCCAATAATTTTTTATCTTACTGTCATTAAAATGACGGTAAATATTAATATTTATTTATACAAAAAACGTATTTATGTATGATTAAAGTTGAACCACGTTTTAGTAAAAAAAATGCTCCATGAATTGTTTTCAATAAAATGAGTATTAAAAACAAAATAATTTTATTTCATAATTTATCATTGCGAAAATATATTTATCATTGATCTCGACCTTTAGTCTATCCCATAAGTAAAACGTGCGGTTTTTTTATAATACAGAAACACGGAAGAAGCTCTAGAGCTACAGCTGTAGCTGGTTTAGATTTGTAAATTAAAAAAAATAATAAAAATTACATAATAACATTGCAAGCTTTCTACTCACCTTAGTTTAAACCACCTTTAAATCATTAAGCCCGTTTTACAGCCTGCAATTTTTCTAATGAATATAATTAATTTTGGAACAAAATTTATCTTGTTTATCCCAATACTTGCAGGTAAAAAAATCACTTACTTTGAATTTATGTTATTTTTCACAATTTCCTAAACTGAACCCATCCTAGAAAGACAAAATTTTGTAGCATAAATACACCAAAAAGACAACTTGTCCAGGTGGGACTTTGAGTGTGGAGCAAGTACAGTTTTACAAGTATGTAGTATATTCAGGGAATTTTGTACCTTACCTTACACAATAATATATTAGAAATAGGTAAAATAAAAAAATTTCTTCGCAATTTATCTTTTATTTCACAATAAACTATGCTGATAATACAAAAAGACAAACTCTTTTTCAACAAAATATAGACCATACTAGATCATCTAATAAATGTTATCTAGGTAGATTTACCCTATTAAAGGAGCATAACAATTTTAGTAGGGTAAATAAGTAATTGCACCTGGATTTAATTGCTAAATCATCTCATCAAAAATAACTTGTGTATAGGGTGTAAATTTCGCAAGAAATATTTTTTTAAGAGTTAGTATAACCTACATTTGCTTTATTATCACATCTATTTTACTATGAATAAATACTAAAATATCTATGTAGATTGTCTGTGAGTTAAATTCTAAATAGTGCAACTATTTCTAAGAATATATTTGGGGTAAGACACTATAGGTGAGTAAATATGAACATAATTACATAACAAGCACCGGCGGAATTAAAATTAGTTAAAAATTAAAATCTATAAAAAATTAAAAAAATTGCACAACAATTATTATTCGTACTCGCATGAATAATGTACTTAAATATGCATAAAAATAGTTTAACATTTGTAAAAACAGCATTGGTTGAAACACAACCAAAAATAAAAACTATTTGCTAAATAAAAATATGGCGTTAAATCAACAGCAAACACATTTGAGTTTTGGCACACAAATGATGGCCTTTACATAATATTCGAATTGCGATTGTTTTAATTCTAAACAAGCCACTAATAAAACTTTAAAAAAAATTTGTTGTGGGATTGGTTATCGTTTAGTCCATCAACTGTATTTGAGGCAAATAATTGCTAATAAGTTCATTCATATCGTTCATATCAAGGGCCTCCATTGGTACGGTGGTTGCCATCGAGGGGGCGTAGCTGCGCAAAAGATAACCAAAAAGTCAAAATGATTTTTATTTATGATATGTGACATGATTTATGAGTTAATTTTAGCACGTTGTGTATGAAAATGACTAAATAAGAAACGTTGAACTTTTTTCAGATTCGTTAGGATGATCGTGTTTAGGGATAAATCCACATAAATATGGGCGCAAACGTGTTAAATATGTCTCGATATGTTTTCCTATCTAATATTGCGCAAAGTCAAATCTTAGAAAATAGAATTTTTTAGCGAATATGATCCCTTTCTTCTGTACGGATATGGCACGCTATTTCACTTTTTAATCGTAAATGTTTTAAATGTAAAAGAAAATTAAAGTAGGTTGACATAATAATAATTAAATAAAATTATGTCAAGCATAAATTTAATTCAAATTCAATGGAAACAGAAAAAATAGCGAATTATTAATTATTTTTTATGATACATTTTAATTTGATATGCAATTTTCGTAACATTTAAATATTTTACCCGACGAATATTTTTAAATATTTTTCAATTTTTTTTTGTGAGTGAATTAGTATTAGCGTCATTTAAATTTGGTCCATTTTTATTTCTTATGAGTTTCTTTATTTTTTTACTTTGAAATTATATTGGAATTATTGTGAGACCAAAAACATTGTTGAACAACTTTTTTTAAACAAGATTTATAAACTAATTTATTTTATTCTATTATTTTCAAGTTTCAATTTCTTATTTATAACACGACAATAATTTTTATTTTACAATTAATTTTATGTGTACACATAAAATTATTGCAATTAATTTTTATGTTACAATTAAAATTATGACATTACATAATAAAAATTATAGAATTAATTTTATCTGTCCACATAAAATTATATAATTAATTTTGTCTACACATAAAGTTAATTTGGCGCTTTGGGAATTCGGCAGGAAGTGTCAACTGCAGTAGTTCAAATGCATAGTGGGTATTTAGTCGTAATTTATCTACGTCAACTTTGGCGCCAATATGTGAAGAGATTCGGGTTTGTTCTTCTATCTATATATATATATATATATATATATATATATATATATATACAGGGTGTTATGTAATTAATGTAATATATTAAAATGGGTTGTTCCTTAGGGTCCATAAAGAAGCACCTGAAACTTTTTTTTTCTAAATTCCAAAGTCTAAAAGTAATTTATAATAACCTTTATCCTACCAAAAAGTACGCCACTGATCGACTAGGAACTTTAGGTTAATCTTATGGTTGGTAACAACAGTGTTTAAAAAAGTTGACAAACATTGTTTAAATTTAGCTTAATTACAAAAATGACAAAATTAACAATGCAAATTGTCAATTTGGCGTTTTTATTAATTGTCGGTTATGTCATTTTTGTACTGAAGGTAAATTCAAACAAAATCTGCCACCTTTTATGACAGAATCTAGTGCATTTCTTTTAAATTTTAGGTTATGTTTTCAAATTGTAAATATCTTAACTAAGGGAAGTGCTTTTGGATTTATTTACACAAATTAAATGTTTAAAGTTTAACCTGTGAACTGGTCCCAATTTCACCTGAGTAAACAGAGAAAAAAACTGAAATTAATTTTGTGGTTATGGATTTCAAATTTCAAAGGTACTAAATTTTCTAATCATTGCTTAAGCTAATAGCTGGATCAGTAAATAAATACAGAAGGGTATTAGAGCTTTAAAGGCATAAAACTTTTGTATTTATTGAGTTTTTATTTATTTTTTGCAAGTAAATTTTTAGTAACAATTTTTTACTTTGTTGGTTGGTATCTGTGTAGATAAACCAAGTGTGTAACCAGTGGCGTATCACAAAAAATATAAAAAACTTCTAATGCATATTTTTTCTTTATCTTTGGAAAAATGTTTTTTTAAATATTTTTCCTTTATTCCTTATGCCAAAAGGTATTCAGTATTTTAATATATAAAATTAATTACATAACACCCTGTATATGTATATATACACTGCGCGTCAAAATTAACCCATAATAAGTAAAAAAATTCTAACTCTATAACGCCTTTATCAATCTTTATGAAATTTTGTATAAAAATAATTCAACTTATATCTCAGTTTACGTGTTCGAGGGTTTTTCGAGAAAATGTTTTCAAATCCCTTTTATTTAATAAAAAAAAACGTGCGAAAAATAAGTTTTAGGGATTTTTTTTAAGCAAATCAAAAATATGCTGTGGAAGACCGTACTTTTGTTAGTATACCCTAAAAATTTTGTACAAATCAAACGAACAGTAACGAAGATACAGCGCTTCAAAGTCGGTAAAAATGACCCCTTTTTAATTATTTTGCTTAAAAGTGGTCATTTTTGACGACTTTGAAGTGCGGTATTTTTGTTACTGTTCGTTTGATTTGTACAACATTTTTAGGGTATACTAACAAACATTCGGTCTTTCACAACATATTTTTTATTTACTTTAAAAAAAGTTTCCCTATAAAAGTTTTTTTTCAAGCGTTTTTTATTATTAAATAAAATGGCCTTAAGGATATTTTCTCGAAAAACCCTTGAACACGTAAACTAAGATATAAGTTAAAGTATTTTTATCCAAAATTTTATAAAGATTGGTAAATGCGTTTTAGAGTTGGATTTTTTTTACTTATTATGTTAATTTTGACGCGCCGTGTATATATGATATAAATTATTTGTAGGTATATAATTCACACAACTAGAAGGTTCTAGTTTTGTGACGTAGATAAATTAAACATACCTACCATTTAAACTACTGCAGTTGCCACTTTCGGCCGCACTTTCGCAGCGCTAAATTAATTTTATGTGTAGTCTACACAATGTAGACAGTGTAGACATAAAATTAAATCTTAAATTTTTATTATATAGCTATAATTTTAATTACAAAATTCAGTGCATTAATTTTACGTGTACAAATAAAATTAATTGTATCATTTTTATTAGAATTAAAATTATGCCTATACTTAAAGTTAATTATGACACGCCGTTTTACTTTTTAATTGTATAAGAAATATTAACTTAAATATTGATAATATTTTATAACAAATTATAAGTATTTTACGCAAATTTTTTCACTTTTATAATTTCAAGATTATTGTAAAAATGTGTTTTATCGTCCTGATATCACCTGAATATAAAATATCTAGTTGATTAAAGAATTTAAATGAATGAATCAAAAACTGCATTTTCAGATTTGAGGATTGTTGGTCGAATAATAATAACTCTTAAACAAAGACTAAGCCTGAAAATGCAGTTTTCTTAATAAAGTACCTGCTTGCCACGGAATCTGGACGCGCAGGCATTGAAGGGGCATTTGCGAAGTTGTTGCTCCAACCTGGGACATGCGTAACCAACAATGGTTTCACATAACCAGAAGGTGTGGTTGATGTATCTAAAAAAACGTTTTTAGAATATGTACACGGTTTAATTGCACCAACTATATTTACCAGAGTATGGAGTATAATATTTCTGGAAAATTTGTTCTTTGGGCGTGTTTGGATATAAGTAAACGAGATAATTCAAATCGGCTATTCTATCGGGCAGCGCTCGCACGCCAATATCTTTCGCCGTGAACGGTTGAAGGCTGAGTACTTCGAAGTTATCGTTGTTATAACCAATCCAGGCGATTGTTATTCCGCCCAACTCGCTGTCGGAAAATCGTAGCAAGAAAGTTCCAAGGCATGTTTTGGACAACATTTCTTCCGCTATGTTTTTTTTAACAAAACCCATTATGGCACTAAAACATTTGATATTTAAATTGTTTTGCCATTTTCGTCCTCTCAACTGACTCTTTGAGAAATTTCAAGAACTCACCCATCTTTCCAGGGACCCTTCAAATGATCCCTGGTCAGCTTCATGATGGCATAGAACCACTCCCAGAACGTGAAGTTCCTTTCCGGCAGCGGATCTTTGCTGAACTGAGCATAAGTGAGCATCGAATTCTCATTATACTGCCCCCTGAACGCTTTTTCCGCCAAAAAATGCAAGTTATCCTCATCAAGAGCTTTACCCGTATACGAGTAAAATTTGACGGACAGCGTTTCAGCCACTTTTGGCCACGGCACCTATGACACATTTATTATTTGTTTTTTTGCCAAAAAGTTTTTCCGGTGAAAAAATTTGATAAAAATACATTTTATTACGATTAATTTTGACTTCTTTAATATTGTTTTGGCAACCCAATTTTTTTACGTATATCGTGGAATATTGTTACCAACAATCTAAAGATAGAGCTGATAATCACCGTTAGAAATATTTTGTTCAGCACTATTGAGATAGATTTTCTACAATTATAAAAAAATACCTATAAATAAGAGGATATAAAGAAAATAAGGTTTATCTATCAAAAGTAGATGTCAGAAAAATTGCATGGTCTATAATAATTTTTTTATTCAAAAATAGAAAGTACTTCAAAGGAAATAGGATAATGATTATATAAATCCTTTCTTGTTGTTTTAAGGGGTTACATACATTTGTGCTGGGTCAAAAAATACTTTTCAGAATATGTACTTAAAATTTTATCAAGATCGGAGCACTAGAACTTATGTTATAGCAATTTATAGCGCGCTACCTCACAAACATTTAAAGGCAAATTGAATCAACTTAAAACTTTAAACGGGTTTATCTAGAAATCGTATTTTTTTGAAAAGTGCCGTTGCCGTGAGCATGATTTCTAAATAAATATATAAATAAATAAACCAATTTATCGATCGATCTGAAATTTGGAAGTGTTGTTCCTAATTACAATAGCCCCTTCGTAAAGGGATTTTCATTCGGACGAAAATTTCTATTTTTTTCGGCCGGAAATTAATTTGTGTGCCCTCGAAAATCGATTATTTTGGGAAAATCACCGCCATTTGCGTGAACATTTTTTTTTAAACCCTTAGTTCACGAAGGGGGTGATACTATGTTCTAATATGGATTTTTATTTTCATTAAGATCTGTTTGGCGGTTTTCACCGCAAACGCTTGAAAAAAGACGTTTCGGGGCAAGGGCTGTGTATTTTCCACAATTTTCCATATTTTCGCATACATTTTTTTTTACAAATACTTCGAAACATACCCTATTCGATAATTATTATTATATACCAAAAAAAAATCACCAAAAACCGTTAATTTTTACGAGCTCATATGTATGTAACCCATTAAAGCTATTTTGCATTATTTTATACAGTTAATTTAAATAAATTTTAATTAATTTGATGAAATTTTGAATTTTGAAAACAATGTAAAGATTATGCTGTCCATTCAAAAAATTAACTTTTTCTAAATTAGGAAAAATCAGAAGTAGCTTTTTTCAAATAGCAAAAGTAGATGGCATAGGAAAATTGCATGGTCTATACGCTAAAGAAGTATCGGGTATTCGCAACGCGCGCGCCATCTGGTGAATGCATTGCGTGAATTTACGAATTGTCAACAATACATATAGAGCACAGATTATACATCATTTTTAAATAAATAGGTAGTTTTTTTACAAAAGAGAGGAAGGCAGAAGTCTTACTCGAGAAATTTTGTTCAATTGCAGCTAAATCGAGCACGTTATTTATGTTTTACGTTGCAAGGAAAATAAAAAAAACTTTTTTTAGTACTCGATTTCGATTGATTATTCCTATATCACTGATTAAGAAACTCAACGCTTAAATGCTTATATAGTTACGTTAGTGTGTGTATTTTATCAAAGGGATCATGGTGAATTATTGTGTTTTTAATTGTAAATAAAATTCAACTAAATCGTTGCATTTTCATGGTTTGCCAAAGGATCCAATTCGGTAAGTACATTTGTTGGTGCAGAATTAACTAATGATAACTTTTCCTAATATAGTTTATATTTAAGTTTGGGCATTTTTAAGAAATTAGTAAAAAATAATTTGCACAAACATAACCTCAAAATCAACCATTTTTTATATTTGAGTTCTCTAAAAAACGCCGACAACTGCATTTTAAACAACAAAATATATACCTACGAATTCATGGCAACATAATACTATATATAATACATAATAAAATGGAATTTTATCGTTGTGTGGAGACTTTCTTAATCAACGCTTTTAATAATGCTAAATGATGTTTAAATTTAGACGACTTATTTGTTTGACGATTATTACTGAATTGAACTTTTCACGTTTATCACTACTAAACTGTGTATTTATTGCATCTAATAGGTACAATTTATATTTACAGAGACTGTGTGCAATTTATTTCTTCATTCGGATTAACACTGTTTATTGGAAAACCGGTAAAAACTCAACCCAGGATTTCTTCTCGAAATACACCCAACAACACAACAAATCGGCTTTATTCCCAACACTCGTTTGTCTAGGTTTGTAACATAAGCATTTGACAGCTGATTTTTAAAAGTTATACTTTTGTTACGATGATAACAGCCAAGTGGTGGCGCTACTAGCGATACTTCTTTAGCGTATAATGCTTTTTTTTAAAGGAAATAAAATATAAACCCTTTTATAAACCAAATTGGAAGCTTACCTTGTCTGGGACTTTGAAGGGTTCCCTGTCGGGCAGACTGAACGCGTTGTCCCAGGTCACAGTAGCCAAGGCGTGGGCCTCTTGATTGCCGTGCACGATCACCGCCACCGGCAAACTGAACGTCAACACGTGAAACAGATCGCCGCCGATTTGGAAGTGCGATTGAAACAGCAGGCAGAACTTCTCGTCCATCACGCTCTCCGTGCCCTTTTTCTCAGTGCGCCTGATCTTCTTCAGCTGCATGTTCCTGAAGCTGACGGTCAGCTGCTTGGCGGCCTGCTGGTACTCCATGGTGCCGGTGTTGTTGATGAGGTCGCCCGAATTGTCTTTGAAAGGTTTGACGATTTCGCTTTGCTGGTAGAGCGTCAGGGCTTGTTGTTCGGATATAATGGTGACTGTAACTTGCGGGGGGGACATGTGCACGCCCAATGGGACGCCGACCAGAAGACGGGCTGTAGTCGGGAACCTCGTGGAGGTTTTCATCACTTGTGGAGGCTGCTTTTCGATCACAAAAGTGCGCTTGATCATTGTTTTGAGAAGGTCGGAAAAGTTCTGCTGCAATTGGGGCAGAATGTTGTCGGGTTGCGTTAGCAGCAACTCGTTGTTTTCTATGATGGACTTTGCCTTTGTGATAATTTGCCTGGACTTCCAGATGAGTTCCGCGAGAGACTGGCACCAATCTTGTATGGTGTCCAAAGTGGCCGCGTCAAATTTTGCGCCGTTTCCCGCCAACTGCTGCTCTCTCTTCCAGTTGTCGAGCTCTTCCATTACAATGCGCTTCTGCATCAGCTCGAGATCCTGGAATATGGCTTTCGATTTTTCCGACAAGCTCAGTTTCAACTGGCCGAAGTTATTAAATGTTGTTTGGAAAGCCGCATCCAATAATTGTCGATTTATTTCGCATTTTTGTCTCATTTGTACGTTTTCGGGATCGTTTCCACGATTGGCGTAATGCGCAATAAGTGCTGAAATATTAGATGTACTTTTAAGAGAAGTCTCGCGATAAAGTTTACCTTTGTTGATAATGATATAGTGTGATGATTATATATATTCAATATAAACTTATAACTAAGGCTGGGAATCGATTACGAATAATTCGAATATTCGAACATTCGAATACTCTAATATTCGAATAATCGAATATTTGAATACTCGAATATTAATCAGTAAACGTAAGGGTAGTGTTGCAAACAAGGAAAACCAGTGTTTCCACTACCATAAATTTTTTTCGGTATATAATTTGGTCAAAATTCGATATAAATCGCTAGATTTTTAGTAACATTCTGTCAAACTTTATCAAAAATGTCTGCTAAATTTGAAAAAAAAAATTATTTTTTTTAATTATGGAAATTTGCAAGTGAAAATATAAAAGTGGAAAAGAAGAAAGTTTTTTTTTCTTTTTAAATTTTTACTTGTAAATTTCCATAATTTTTAACAACAATAAATTTAATAATTTTTGCTTCATATTTTTTTGTTATTATTTTTTATATCGTATGTGTTTTTTTATGGTGTGTATAAATTTCTATTCTTTTTTACTTAAAAAATATGATTTTTTTAACTCATACCTAGTTTATTTTTGTTGTAATTATGTTGTTTGTTATTTTTTTTGTTATTTTGTTATAAAACAATTTGTTAAGAGATATAAGAAATAAATTATTATACAAGCATTATTTATGTTTTATACGTTTACATTACAAAAAACTCAACTTTTCCATCTTTTCCAACTTTTCCGAAAAATAAATCCCAACTTTTCAAAAATTTCCCACTGCAATTTTAATTTAGAATTTTTAGCCAAAAAAGCCTATATCTACTAAATATTAGATATTATCTAGGGTGTAAGTAGATTTCTGACCATAAACTTTATGAAACTTATTACAAAAATTTACCTTGGAAAGCAAAAAAATGTTCGAATTTTGACCAAAAAATTGTTCAAATTTTAAGTCAATATTTTTAATCATCTTTTTAATTTTTAAAACTTTTGTGCTACCATGATAAACTAATATAATTTTATAGGAGACTCGAAAAAAATCGTTTTTTCAATAATAATAATAATAATGTCTTTATTAATTAATGCATACATTATTTAATTATTAAATATATTAAATTTTAATATAAACGAAGTCTAGCCATGCTACTCCAGGCTACTTTTGCGGAGAAAAATTTATAGCCTAGAGATTTAATAATAACTTTTAAATTTATAATAATTATTATTATTAATAATATTATCTGTTTGATAAGTAAAAAACAGATACAATAATTAATACTAAAAGAAGTTTTTATTAAATCTCTAGATTGGCTCAAAAACCTCTAAAACTAGTGAAACTTCTAAATAATAATAAATAATTCGAATATTCAACATAATTTTCAAACTATTCAAATTTCTAAAACTAAAAAATTCCCAGCCTTACTTAAAAGTTTTAAGTTAAAACTTAACATAATATTTGAAAATGGTGCAAAAACCTGTAGGGGGAAGATCATCAAAATAATTTTGAAAATTGGTGTTCTCTTTATCTAACACGTGATTATATTCAATAACATGTTTTGAAACCAATTATCAATAAAATTGTCATTATCAGTAATAAGTATTAAATGGTAAAAAATATTGCAAGGTCATTAACCTTCAGAAAAATTGAAAAAGCCATTTAAGTATACCTATTATTCATTTTATTTTTAAATAAAAATAAAAATGCCAGACATTCTTTAAAGGTATTATAGATTTGGATTTATGGTTTTGGCACATACTAACTTTTTTATTTGATTATTAATTGTAAAAAACATAAATAACTTTTATAAATAGAAGGATTAAAAACAGATTTGCTGTGTTCCTTAACCTTAAATGCTTTCTAATTAAGTTAAAAAATACTTGATGGTGTAAATTTATTTAAATTAAACTTGTAGGTAGGAATGTAAATTATTTAATCCAGGAATTTAAAATTGCAAAAATTGTTATTATACTAAGGAATTTATTATTTGTGCACATTCTTTACAGTAGGTATATTAAAAATGTTTTGAAATATAAAAACTTACCATTATTATCAAGAATCTTATGATAGTTATCACAGACACTATCACTTTCCTGTGACATTTTATTATAATCTTGTGCGATTTCCTAAAAACAACTTTTAATCATAACTGAAACAAAACAAAAAGATTAACTTACTGAAACTCTTGCAAATAAATCGTTCATCTTTTGTAATATTTCGGCCCCTTTATTTGTGTCCATTTTATTGTGAACCAATTGCAACTCGAATGTCAATCCATCTCTTATAATTTTGTACAACTCCAAAGGATTACTACAAATTCATATGAACATTTGAGGTTATGTCAAAAAACAAAAGAACCTCACCTAAGTTTGAATGTCAAAGCTGCCTCTGAAAATTTTTGGGTCAAAAGCCAATTTTTTTCAGCATTAGTAGTAACCCTATCATCAAGTTCTTTTACTAATCCATTAATTGTAGTGATTACATATTGCTGATACTGGAGATCATCGGGACTGCCATTGATTCTATAAACATTTTATTTTAATGAAAAAAATATTAACTTTAGTACTTGATATTCACTGAAAGTTTGTCTCAATAAAAGCAGCCAAAGAGTGTCTAACTTCAATGGGATATCTATGTTCATAGTAAGTTCTTAATCGATGGTAATATTCCTGGGGAAGTTGCTGAATTTGCTCCCAAAGAGCCATGTTTACAACCTAAAAACCAACACCGACGTGGAATTGCCACTGAACTTTGTGTAGTTCAGTGGGAATTGCTCTCAAACTGCAAAAATCACAATAATCAACTCTCAAGGTCAACTTTGTGTATTTACTTGTTTCAACAGTGGGTAGTACAATGTTTAAAAAATCAAATCACAAAATTGACTTACACAAACACTAATTTAACAAGTTTTTTAATCATTTATGATTTATATTCTTCGGAAATGTTTAATATGCAACACAAAACACTGCGGTAAATGGACTGCTCCTACGCGGACATGTTCAAATACCATTTATCAAAAGCAATGTTGCCAATTCTACCTAACGACTTATTTTTTTTACCAATAACCTTTTTTGAATATTGAAGAACATATCCCCTCCAAAATGATAAAATAAATATAGGCATTAAATAATTTTTATTTATATCCCGCGTCCAACCTTCTTTGCCTCTGATCGCGTCAATTCACAGAAATGGGTTGTTATGATTATTACACATACCTACCCACAATCCACATACCATACTTCGAATTCCAAAATAATGAAATAAAGCAGACAATGATCCAAAAATAGGGAAAAAAATAAAACCAAGCTATAGTAGGTACTTGTTTTATTGTTTTTGAATTGTTAAACTTAATTTAATTTATTTATTCTTTTATGTACCTATTTATAAAACTTAAGTTTTATAAATGCAATTTTAGTTACGAGTTTTATTAGGCACGAGCGAAACTTGCAAGCGAGTGTTTAATAAAAACGGGTGTCTAAATTTAGAAGGTTATAAAACAAGTTGCATACTATAGTATATATATATAGTATAAATTTATACTAGTGCACTAGTATGGTATATACCATTTATCCTATATAATATTATATAGGATAAATCGTCAATAATTTTTTATAATAGTATAAATTTATACTAGTGCACTAGTATGGTATATACCATTTATCCTATATAATATTATATAGGATAAATCGTCAATAATTTTTGATTCGCATAGAAAATAATTTAATAAAATAATAATTTGATAAAAAAAATAATGTAATAACAAAATAATTTGATGAAAAAAATTTTTTTTTTAAATATTTGGATAAAAACATAATTTGGTAAATAATTATTTATAAAACAAAATAAATTTATTTTGCACAAACGGTGCCTTATATATTTACCTGTTTGAACAGTCGCTAGGTTCGAAAAATCAAACCACAAATTTAAATTAACTTACACACACTTTAACAGGTTTTTATATACATTTATGATATCTGTAACTAGGTATATTCTTTTAAAATGTTTATGATATGTTAACATAAATTTATGATATCTGTAACTATATTCTTTTAAAATGTTTAAAATGCAACACAAAACAATGCGGTAAATTAACTGACGGACAAAAGCATATATATACGTATAGGTATCCCCTCTAAAATGATAAAATAAAATAAAGATAATTTATTTTTATATCTGCAGACGCCATGGCGTCTTTCTCCCAGCGCACAATATACTAATTAAGTTTGAAAAGGTTATAACTAATTGACAGCTGTCCAATAAAATTGGCTGTACCACAAAAATATTCTTTGTGGTTGTATTGGCCAAAAAAGGAGATTCCACTAGCGCATTACCTTACCCGCTACGCTCGTGCGGCAAACTCCACGCTCAAGGAATCTCCCCTTTGGGGCCGTTCATTAATTACGTGAGACAATTTTGGCGATTTTTCGACCCCCCCCTCCCCTTGGTGAGATGTCGTGAGATTTTGCTCGGCCCCCTCTCCCCCCCTTAATCTCACGTGAGATTTTTTAAAATGCATGGTTTTAATGTAAATAAGTTAATCTATGCTTGATTCCATTAGATTTATTAAAAAAAACAATTTGCTTATAATTGTTTACTTAATTTAACCCAGTTTTCTCGCAATTTTACACTCTTTCTTTCGAAAAAAAAATTACGCGATATTTGCCGAGAGCCCCCCTCCCCCCCACGTGAGATTTGGCTCGACCCCCTCCCCCCCCTAAACACCTCACGTAATTAATGAACGGCCCCTTTCTCCCGACTGTAGTCGCACAAATTTTAGACCGATCCAACCTCACTTTTTTTACAATTAAATTATTTTTCTATGGTATTTTTTGGAAACGTAGAAAAAGTATAGTCTGAAACACGTTTGGAATTTGTTTTATTTTTAAATTTGTATTTAATTGTAATTTGTATTCCGCTCTCGTGAAACAGTCAAACTCGCCTTCGGCTCGTGTGACAAACTCTTCACTCGAGCGGAATATGCTGTATTCCAAACTTGTTACAGAATATACTATTCAAAGTAATGAAAGAAAGCAGAGAATTATATAAAAATACAAATTTAAAAATAAAACAAAGCAAGTTAAAAAAAATTAAATTATTTTTGAGTTAAGTATTGCATTTTATTTTAATATTTTAAAACTATTTAGGTATTTATTGCATAAAATTATGGAATATACCTTAGAAATTCTAACGACATTACAAAAATAGAAAGTTTATTAAAAAAATTGGTTTTATCAAAATTATAATTTATTTATATTATATTTCAAAATATATATACCTATAGGTACATAAATATAAATATATTTTTTATTTATATTATATATTATCAAAAAAGAGAGTTATAAATTATAACCTATTTATTTTTTTTACAATATCCTCGAGAAATCGTTAGTTAAAACCTATGGAGATCTAGTCTAGATCATCTAGAACTTCCGAGTAACTTTTGCTATATACTTTTCATTTTTTTTTTTTAATAAAAATATCAAAAAATAAAGGGTGTTTTTTTGGTAGCAGAGAAGGATGATGTAAAAAATATTTAGTACTTACCCTTAAAAATCACACATTGGCATAAAACATAAATGTTTATAGGAGACTATTTCACTCATTACTTGATGGACCAATCAGATTTAAGAAAACGAGGGTTTTTTTCAGTTTGGCAGCGATAAAACTACTATTTATACGAGTTGCATAGCAACTAATTGCTTGCTATGCGAAAAATAATTGTCAATGTTGACATTTCTAATTTTAAAATAAAAATGTCAAAAAATATGCGTTGTTGTCAAAAAAATCATACAGAAATTAAATCGCCGAATACCAGTCGTGATAAAATTTTCCTTTAAATTTTTTTTTATTTACTCAAGATTTTTCCTCTGAAATTTCGCTCCTGGCATTAATTTAAAACCAATCGCCTATAGCGGCTCGTGGTCTTAAAAATTAATGCCACTTGCGACATGTCCAAGAAAAAAAACATTAATATAAAAATCAAAAATTTTATCTCAAATATTATTTTCGGTGGCCAAAAACAATATTAATTAATTTATAATTGTATGCGTTAAATCCGTTAACATCATATTTTTTTGTTAAAATCAGGAATCAATTAAAATGTAAAATAAACATTTGATGTAATATTTAACGATAAACAAAAATAATGGTGTTTTCAAATCGTGCAAACAAACAGTTCTTGGAAAATGATTCATATTTCTGAGAATTGATTATTTGTGACGTCAGGGACTCTCTCATAAGATGATAAATTTTAATGTTAAATTAAATGCAGTAAATTAAATATTATTATTTTCCTAAAATATTTTGAACAAAATGTTTAACCAGAAGTGACATCAACTTTGTAGTTCAAATAGAACACCCCATTTATTTTTACATTTTTAAATTCTGCATACAATTTTAAGTAAAATTACTATACAATGTCCTATACCTAAAGCACAGCTTCATATTGGGTCTAAAGTGAATAGTTTTTGAAATTTGAGAAATGCTTGGCAATCAAAAATAGCCTATATATATTTATATAACTTTTTATTATTGGGTTCGCGAATATGGAGGTGGAATTTTTAAAACATTGTTTAAAAGATTTCATGTATATTCTTTTATTTATGAATATATTTAATATATATAAATATAGTATTAATTTTTTTAATGTTTTAAAGTTTTAAGGTTCATAGAAGTGTTTATTCTAAAAGTAAATGAACTATGTGGGTGTAAAATTAATTTATATGGGATAATTAATAGGAAATATTTATTTTTTATTAAATATTTATTTTTTTATTAATATATTTTGTTGGGAACACGAACAATAATGTGAGTAAATTTTATAATACAGTTTGATATAATTTTGGAAACACAGCCTAATTTTGATTATTTTGTTGCATAATCACATGGTATTGTCGTTATCCATCAAAATCTACGTAAATATAAAACAATTAAAAAACATTGTATAATACTTATAAAATTTATGTATGTATATAAACAATTTAAAAATGCGATAAAATTTATAAAAATACATCAATCAGTAAGCTCTTACATAGGAATTACACTTATTTAAACAAAGTAAAACTTAACTCTAATTAATAGAAAATATATAAAAGTAAAGCATTTTCACTCACAGTGTTATAAAAAAATATGGTCCAAAATAGATTTTTTTATTATGATTATAGTTTCAGCATATTCTGAAAACTAACACATAGTTTAGAAATCGATGGAAATTGTCGCCGCACAACTACCTACAATCTACTAAGCATTAAAATTGTAGGAAACTAAAACAAAAAAAAATGCTCAGTTGACTGCCTTACGTAAATACGGAAAAAAAGTTAATTAAATCGACATTTACCTGCTTGCAACGGATGGCGTGTCCCGAGTGGGATCTGGGGACATGTGGGACATATAATGCTGAGGTGTTGTATTCGAATAATTTGTTGTACCACTCCAACCTGGGACATGAGTCACCAACAACGGTCTTACATAACCAGTAGTTGTAGTTTGTGCATCTATAAATTAAAGTGAAAGAAGTTTTAACACTCTAAATGTTAAATCTTTGAGAGTAAATTTCACCAGGCAACGGAAGTTGCGCGCGCATAGATAACGAAAATCGATATGTCAATCAGCTTGAGTGAGACAGAGATAGAAATAAATAAATCAAATATGGCTGCCACCCAAATATGGCGGATTGCCCTATTTCCTCACAACCTCTTTGTCATGGGTATCGTATGAATAGGATATGTGGATATGATGATTAGTGACGAATCGTCAGAACTTTAAAAAAATTTCAATTTTCTAAAATTTTCAGGACTTTCAAATTTTAGAAAACCTAGAATTTTTAAAATTATTAAAGTTTCTAGATTTCATAAAATTTCCAAAATTCGTCAATTTACTTTTAAACTGCATTAATTTTCAAATTTGGTCATTTTTAAAATTTACAGGTTTTCTTAGGTTTAAAATTTGTCAATTTTTATTTCAAATGCCATTAATTTCCAAAATCTACAAGATTTTCAAAATTTCAATAAAAATTTAATTTTCTAAATTTCTAAATTTTATTAAAATTTCTAGATTTTCTAAAATTTCCAAAATTTGTCAATTTTGTTTGCATATTGCAAAATCTTTAAGATATCCGAAATTTCAAAAATTAAGTATAAAATTTTCAAAATTTATTAATTTATATTTTTAATAGCATCAATTTCCAATACCCAAATCTTCAAGATTTCCAAAATTTCATAAAACTTAAATGTTACAAATTTCTAATCCTTAAAATTTCTAGATTTTCTAGTTTTAAAAATCTGTCAATTTTTATTTTAAATAGCATTAATTTCCAAAATCTAATATTTCTAAAGTTATTAAAATATCTAGATTTTCTAAAATTTTCCAAATTCTTTAATTTTTATTTCAAAATTTAAGATTTACAAAATTTTAAAACACTTAAATGTTACAAATTTCTATAATCATTAAATTTTCTACATTTACTAAAATTTTTATTTCAAATAGCAATAATTTTGAAAAACCTTTAGATTTTCAAAATTTAAAAAAAAATTCTAGATTTTCTATAATTTTAAGAATTTCTTATTTTCATTTTAAAGAAGTTTTCCAAAATTATTAAAATTTCTGGATTTTCTATAATTTTTTAAATTTGTCTGTTTTTATTTTTAATAGCATTAGTGGGAACGAAAATAGATTGTTTTAGACACAGATTTTTAAAAACAAAAAACGCGAATTTTACTCCAACAATTTTTAAAGTAAAGTGACAATGCGGTAATGTAATAAGGCATGAAATAATAATAATACTTACCAGTATATGGCGTGTAATATTTTTCGAATGGAATTTGTTTGGGGGTGTCCGGATACAAACAAACCAAATAATTTAAATCGGCTATTCTATCGGGCAGCGCTCTTATAGTCATATCTTTTGATGTGAACGGCTGTAGACTAAAAACTTCCCCGTTTTCTAAAAAAAAATTAAAAAACGAAATTACGCATTTTTAAAGATACCTTAAAGTATATTATTTACCCGAAACCCAGGCGATTGTAATACCGCCCAACTCGCTGTCGGAAAATCTAAGCAAAAACGTTCCGCTGCATTTTGTCGACAGCATTTCTTCGGCCTTGTTTTTTCGCACGAAACCCATTATGGCACTAGAATTTTTTTTTAATTTTACAAAGATTTATAAAAAAAGTTGTATTATTCTATCTTAAATTGTTTCTTTGAAAATTGCCTTGTTTTTTGAGCCAGCAAAGAAACCCCAAAACAATTAAATTTTGTAAAATAGTCATCTTGAACTATAACTTGAACACATAATCACGTCTTATCAAAAAGCTCTATAATGAGAGCATGCCTTATTTCCACACTAGAGGCCTGTAAAATGAAAAAAAATTAACTTACCCATCCATCCAGGGACCTTTTAAGTGTTCCCTGGTCAGCTTCATGATGGCAAAAAACCACTCCCAGAACGTGAAATTCCTTTCTGAAAGCGGTTCTTTACAGAACTGCGCCCATGTTAACATGGGATTAGCGTTTTCATTGTATTGTCCCCTGAACGCTTTTTCCGCCAAAAAACGTAAATTATCTTCCGTTAGAGCTCTATTGGTGGCCGACTGGAATTTAATGGAGAGAGCTTCGGCTACTTTTGGCCATGGGATCTAAGATAGAAAGCAATGTTTGTTGTATTTGAAGAAAACGTTTTAAAGGCAAAAATGTGACCAAACTATATTTGGGTATTAGGCCCAGTCAAACCATATATTTTGAGGGTGTGTAGTGGGATTTTCCGCCTCGAAAGTTTGTAAATATAGTTTTGACAAATTGGATCAAGACGTTTGCAGGGCTCCACGGCTAAATTACAAATTTTATTTAGCGATTTATGAAGTTTTTTGGAGAATTTTAGGACAAATAAAGTGTGCAAATAAATATCTGTAATTAAATAAAAACACTGTACTTTAAAAAATAAGAAAAAAAACTGTTTTAACAAAAAAATTAATATTTTATAGAAATTACTTACATTGACTAGTTTTTTAGCCAAATCGCTCACCAAGTTTTTTTGAATAAAATTTAAAGTGTAATATACAGCTCGTTCAGACTAAAACCGAATATATCTATATATATATGGGGCGTGGCCTCGCCTCCCTCCATCGCGCGACACAGTAGCTAAGCAAATAGACTGCATCGCTAATGAGATTTTTTGCATTATTATCATTTAATTTTTTAAGTCCTTACCTGCTCGACCTTTCGTCATGTCGTTTATCACACAAGCAACTGTGACGCGCCTTGGAGGGAGGCGAGGCCACGCCCCATATATATATAGATATATTCGGTTTTATTCTGAACAGGCTGTATTAAAATGGGTAGTTCCTTGGGTCCATAAAGAAGCACCTGAAACTTTTTTTCTAAATTCTAAAGACTAAAAATAATTTATAATAACCTTTATCCTACCAAAAAGTATGCCACTGATCGACTATAGGAACTTTAGACTAATCTGGTTGCCTAATTTAATTTATTATGTTATGGTTGGTAACAACCAGGGCTTCCAGATTCTGTCAAAAAAGTTGCCAGATTTTGTTTAAATTTAGCTTAATTACAAAAATGACAAAATCAACAATGCAAATTGTTAATTTGGCGTTTTTATTTATTGTCTATTATGTCATGTATAAATTCAAACAAAATCTGGCAACTTTTATGACAGAATCTGGTAAGTTGCCATTAATTAGTGCTTTTCTTTCAAATTTTAGGTTATGTGCTCAAATTGTAAATATATTGACTAAGGGAAGTGCTTTTGGATTTATTTACACAAATTGAATGTTTAAAGTTTAACCTGTGAACTTGTATCAATTTCATCTGAGTAAACAGAAAGAAAAAATCGATGAAAAAATTAATTTTGTGATACAAAATTTTCTATTCATTATTAAGCTAATAGCAGGATGAGTAAATAAATACAGAAGGGTATTATAGCTTTAACGGCATAAAACTTTTGTATTTATTGAGTTTTTATTTATTTTTTGCAAAAAAATTTTTAACAACAATTTTTTGCAAGTGGCAACGCGCAGCTACTTTGTTGGTTGGTATCTATGTACTCACAGAACACAAGTGTGTAACCAGTGGCTTACTACAAAAATATAAAAAACTTCTAATGCACATTTTTCTTTATCTTTGGAAAAATATTTATTAAAATATTTTTCCGTTACGCCTTATGTCAAAAGGTATTCAGTATTTTAATATATTACATTAATTACATAACATAATAGAAATTTCACCGCCCTTTTAATTTTATTTTAAAAAACGCGTCGATAGATTTGGCTAAAAAACTAGGCCAATGTCAAATGATTTTATATTTATATTTTGAGAAAAAAAATGTTAACCGTTTAGTTAATAACTAACAATAATTTTAATGGTGATACTCAAAAATTTCATACCAGAAAAAATATGAAGTTTGCATAATACAGCAAAATATTCTTAAGATTGTTTACTATTTTAGCTACCCATTTAAAAGAAAACTCAAAATTCTTTTGTTTGATATAACACATTTTTGTCGAAAACAAACGAAATATGGCTAAAATTACAATTTTGTAGAAGTCTAGGAGCTACTACATGGATTTTGTTTTTAATTATATTTTGTTGTTTTTTTTAAGAAAAATGTGGGTTGAAATATATTATTTTGAAAATAATTTAATAAACTAGAAAAACTAAAAATATATATTTTTAAAATTACTTATAAAAAAGACCTTAATTAAACGCAGTCAGGTTGGCCTATTTATATTTAATTATTTTTAGGAGTTTTAGTAGGTTGATGGCAATTTTAGGAGTTTTCAAGATTTAAACCAAATTTTATGAGTTTTAGGAGGTGTGGGAGCCCTGCGTTTGTAACTTTCTCAAATATGACTTAACTTTTGATTGAACCGAGAATGCTAAATAAATAAAAATTATGGATAATTTTTAAGGCTACAACTTTCAATATAACTATTTTTGCCTTAAGGTAGTTGTCGTTCTGTAAGCATACCATCAGAAAATTTTAAATTTTTGTATACTTATTAAGGACATGACAATACAATTATCCTTAAAATTTCAAGTCGATTGACCGTCTATAACCCGAGATAAATTCAATTAAAAATTGGATAATTAACATGGATTGTATACATTGTATTTATACGCTTTCTGTAGTTCTGTACCAGTTTCTAAGTTATAAAAAAACTAACTGTCAGAATCTTTCAAAAAACTAACAGTCTTTTAATGTATTTTTGCTGAGTTTAAAAAATAATAATTAAAAATTTTTGACCGTCCAATTGTTTATAAATAACTGTTTAAAGTTCAACAATTTGTAAAAAGTATACATCACTAGTGTCAGATAAAAACAACTTGGCAACGCTGTACGCGAGTAAATTCAAACAGACTGACTCAGTCTCCAATATATCTATTGGTTGAGCATAAGCGACGTTGCCGGATTAAAACTTATGAAAATATTTGAAAGTATTACGTAAAGGTAACGTCTCCAGGGTACAGTCTTGCGAAAAAACTATGAATCACTTAGCTACAAGCTCGTATACTTTTACGGTGCGTATAATCTAAAAATTTTTGACAATATTGTACCACTACAACTACCTTAAGATGGATAGTTTGGCTGTTAAATCGGAATCAACCCTCCAACCCTGTAAGAAAATGTTTACCTTGTCTGGGACTTTGAAGGGCTCCCTGCCGGGCTCGCTGAACGCGTTGTCCCAGGTAACAGTGGCCCATGCGTGGGGCTCCTGATTGCCGTGGACAATGACAACCACCGGCAAACCCAGCGTCCACACTTGGAAAACCAGCTCCCCACCGCCGACGGAAAATTGCGATTGAAACAGCAGGCAGAACTTCTCGTCCATCACGCTCTCCGTGCCCTTTTTCTCGGCGCGCTTGATCTTCTTCAGCTGCATGTTCCTGAAGCTGACGCTCAGCTGCCTGGTGGTCTGCTGGTACTCCATCGTGCCGGTGTTGTTGAGAATTTCGCCGGAGGAATCGCTCAGTTTGTTGTTGGAGTCCTTTTTGATGCGCATGTTGGCTTGTTGCTCGGATATAATGGTGACTTTTACTTGCGGGGGGGACATGTGCACCCCCAATTTCCCCCCGACTAGAAGCCGTACAGTCGCCGTGAACCTCGTGTTGGTTTTCATGACTTGCGGCGGCTGTTTCTCGATGATAAACGTTGATGTCACCAGCGTTGATAGCAGCTGCGTAACCTCGACTTGCAGCTGCGGCAATATATCTTGTATGGGCAGTTCCAATGGGAATTTCTGCTTTATAGCTTCAGTCTCTTTGATCTGTTGCCTGGCAGTCCAAATCAATTCCGCCAAGTTCTCGCACCACTCTTGAATTGTGTCCAGCGTGGTTGTGTTAAAGTGCGCGCCATTGCCGGCCAACTGTTGCTCCCGTTTCCACCTAATCAACTCTTCATCGAGTACGTGTGTTTGCACGAGTCCCAATTCTTGGATTATACTTTTTAAATTTTCTGATAGGCTTAGTTTCATTTGCATTAGAGTGGCGACTTTGTTGTTCAACGCCGTTTCGATTAATTCTTTACGTCTTTCGCAGTCTTGCACCATCTGCATGGATTTTGGGTCGTTGGCCTGGTTTTGAAGACTTCTTATGTGAGCTAGTTGAAAAAAAAAACATTTTGACGTTGAAAATGTCTTAAGGCAGAAGACCCATTTTTTTTTCTCAAAAAGCGTTACCGTTACTTTAGACAACATGGACATATATACCTTAGAGCTTAAAATACGGGGATCCCCATTTTTGGTGCTGATTTTATTTTATACAAACGATTATTATTATTACAAAACACTATTATTATTAGAATATTTTTTAATTATTAAGCAAAAACTCAATAGTAAAAACTGTAACCAAGGTCCAGAAAAAAATCTTAAAATTTACTAAAAATACCATTTTTGGAACATTTATAACTAAACATCATTATTAAACGTAAAAAATTGCAATTTTTTAGGTTTATTTCAAAGATATTTTTAAATTAATATTATTCCTTGACATAATGTCATTCTGAAAAAAACGTCAATAATTTAAGGTTATGTACAGGTACGTTAAATTTGACAGAAATGTTGTGAAAATTACATTTCTTAAAGTGTTAACATAAACATATTTGTTGAATATATATATATGTATATGTATAAGCTAAAGAAGTATCGCTAGTAGCGCCACCACTCGGCTGTTATCTTCGTAACGAAAGTACAACTTTTAATAATCAGCTGTCATGTTACAAACGAGTGTTTTTGAGAATAAAGCCGGAAAATGTTAAAAAATATCGGAAAAAAACCGTGGCTTGATTTGTTGTGTTGTTGGGTGTATTTCGAGAGGAAATCCTGGGTTGAGTTTTTACCGGTTTTCCAATAAACAGTGTTAATCTGAATGAAGAAATAAATTGCATACAGTCTCTGTAATTATAAATTGTACCTAATAGATACAATAAATACACATTTTAATAGTGATTAACGTGAAAAGTGTAAACATTCCAATTCAGTAAAAATCGTCAAACAAATACCTAAGTCGTCTAAATTTAAACAGCATTTAGCATTATTAAAAGCATTGATCAAGAAAGTCTCCACTCAACGGAAAAATACCATTATATTATGTATTAGGTATATACAGTGCTTGCAAATCCAAGTCCGACCACACAGGAAAGGACGGCTGTTCAATACCCGCGTGAAAAGAACAAGGATAGAACGCCAAATAGAATTTGATTGGCCAGCCGGCAGGCTACGACAACGCATACCCATCGCGCACCTCGCAGCGTGCTTGACACGAGGATATTAGAACGAGAACTGCAGTGGTGCCAGCAAGAGCCTCTTGCCAAGAGGTAGTAATTTTAGTAAAAAAGATTATTTAATTAAAAAATGTAGGTACACGTTTAATTTTTCAGTTTATTTATTTTTAGAGTTTTATTAGACCAGGGTCGATAATATTTGAAACCAAAAAAAATAAAAGTAGGATGAAACCCATTGGAAAAGGAGAAGAATATAATAAAAATAAAAGGAAAAATAAATTACGGGCGATCTGACTTTGGGAAGTGGGAGGGGGGGGTTTTAAGGGTAAAAAATGGTTTATCTCGATTTCCGGTAAAACTACAAGTCCTATGGAAAAAAGTTAAATGGCAAAGTTGTAGGTAATAAAAGGATCTACAACTTTTGTAATTACAATTTTTTTACATAACCTCCAAATTTATGGGAAAAATTCAAAAAACCAAGTTTTTGGTTTTTTATTTTTATCTTTTTCAAAAAAAAAAATTTTTTCCACGAAATTTGGTGAAAACTTACCTTTTTATGTCCCAAATACACTGTAATTTATTTGATTTGAAATATTTATTATTTCGCCTTATTTTGACTTAATATCAAAAAAGCACCCTAATTTTCAATCGAAAATTCTCGCGTCAAAATATCAGCTTTTTTCAAAAAGTCGGTGTGCTTTTTGTTTGTTGAAATCTCTACTTTCTGATGGTGTAAAAAAATATACATTACTATGGTAAATTTTCTCAGAAAATGCAAAAAATATTATAATGAATAACGAAAAAAACTCGAATTCGAAAATTTATTTTAATCATTATGTACAATTTCATCAAAAAAATGTGATTGTTGCAATTTTTTTTAGTTAAAAAGTTTATTTATTAAATTCTAATAACATTTATGTCAGAAAATCTCATAAAATATAAAAATACATGTAAATCATTCTGATTACGTTATTCATTATAATATTTTTTGTATTTTCTGAGAACATTTATCATAGTAATGTATATTTTTTTACACCATCAGAAAGTAGAGAGTTCATCGAACAAAAAGCACAACGACTTTTTGAAAAAAGCTGATATTTTCACGCGAGAATTTTCGATTGAAAATTAGGGTGCTTTTTTGATATTAAGTCAAAATAAGGCGAAATAATAAATATTTCAAATCAAATAAATTACAGTGTATTTGGGACATAAAAAGGTAAGTTTTCACCAAATTTCATGGAAAAAATTTTTTTCTTGAAAAAGATAAAAATAAAAAACCAAAAACTTGGTTTTTTGATTTTTTCACATAAATTTTGAGGTTATGTGAAAAAATTGTAAATACAGAAGTTGTAGATCTTTTTGAACTTGACATTTAACTTTTTTCCATAGGACTTGTAGTTTTGCCGGAAATCGAGATAAACCATTTTTTACCCTTAAAACCCCCCCCTCTCACTTCCCGAACTCAGATCGCCCGTAATTTATTTTTCCTTTAATTTTTATTATATTCCCCTCCTTTTCCAATGGGTTTCATCCTACTGTTATTTTTTTCTCTTTTTACCATTTTTAAAGGCTTCTGCACTGGTCTATATTTTTATTTAGAGTTTTATTTTTATTTTTAGTTATTTTTATTTGAGAAATCTTTTTTATTAAGAATACTATTTTTGTTGTTGCCCTAGTTCTCAAGGAAAAAAATCAAAACATTTTATTTTTAGGATTCGGGTATAAAATATTTAAAAAGAAAATTAAAATGTGCATCTCCACTCCAACGCAGTTTGCTTAACACTAAATCATTTAGTCTAAATGCAGCCAGAGACTCTGGCCCAGAGTTGACCTCGCTTACAATTCGCACGCATCCGGGGCTCTGGCCAATCAAATTCTATTTGGCGTTCTATCCTTGTTCTTTTCACGCGGGTATTGAACAGCCGTCCTTTCCAGTGCGGTCGGACTTGCATTTGCAAGCACTGTATAATATTATGTTGCCATGAATTCGTAGGTATATTTTGTTGTTTAAAATGCAGTTGTCGGCGTTTTTTAGAGAAGTCTAATATAAAAATGGTTTATTTTAAGGTTATGTTTGTGCAAAAATTATTTTTTACTAATTTCTTTTAAATGTCCAAACTTAAATATAAATTATATTAGGAAAAGTTATCATTAGTTAATTCTGCACCAACAAATGCACTTACCGAATTGGATCCTTTGGCAAAACATGAAAATGCAATAATTTAGTTCTTGAATTTTATTTACAATTAAAATAATTCACCATGATCCCTTAGATAAAATACACACACTAACATAACTATATAAGCATTTAAGCGTTGAGTTTCTTAATTAATGATATAAGGATTAATCAATCAAAATCGAGTACTAAACAAGTTTTTTAATTTTTTCCTTGCAACGTAAACACAAATATCGTGCTCGATTTAGCTGTGCAATTGAACAAAATTTGTCAAGTAAGACTTCTGCCTTTCTTTTTTTTGTGAAAAAACTACCTATTTATTTAAAAATAATGTATAATCTGTGCTTTAAATGTATTATTCTTAAATTCACGCAATGCTATCGAAGTCCACCAGATGGAGCGCGTTGCGAAAACCCGATACTTCTTTAGCGTATGCATCCCAAAAAATCGATTTAATAGAAAGCAAAAATCTAGTAAAAACTAAAGTTTTTTGTCCAGAAGAACTTCATTTAATTCAAAATTTACCAAAAAATACCGTTTTTGGAAGAAACGCCATTTAAACGTCAAAATTGCCAAAATTTTAAAGGGTCTTTGTGCATTTTTATTAATTTAGTAAGTTTATTTCAAAATATTCTTAATTTAAAAACAAACGTCAAAATTTAGGGTTATGTAAACGTCAAATTTGACAGAAGGCAGATGTCATAAAAATGACATTTATAAGTGTTCCAAAGAATGCAATCTTCTAAAAAAACTGATTAGGTAATTTAAAAACCCCCTGTAGATATCTTAACACTGAATATAATAAACATATATATACTTAATAATATATTAACTATAATTTTTTATTGTAAACAAGGTCAGATATACCTACAGTTTATTAAAATAAATAATCCACAATATTTTAAATGTAGGTATTACCTATAAACGAAAATTTAACGTTTTTTTATTTTATCTGATAATTATTGATAAAATGTAAATAAATTTTAAAATTGTGGTATAAAATGTGAAAATGTGGTTTTTAATAAAATTCTTTAAACTTACCATTATATTTGGTACACTCATGATACTGAATAGCAAATGCTTCACCTTCTTGCGACATTTTTCTCAAATCCTCAGCAGTTTCCTATAAAAAATATTATATTAATAAACAAAATAAAGGAACACAAAAATAAAAATTACCGAAATTCTGGAACGCAAATTGTTTAATTTTCTTTGTGTTTCAGCACCCAAATTTGGTACCATGATTCCGGAAAACTCTCCATTGGAAGTCTGCACCAAATTCATCTCAAATGCTAAACATTGACGAATAACATTAAATAAATCCATTGGATTCCTACAAAATATTTTTATTAGTATTAATAGTATATTAAAATAATAGATCAAATATTACTCCTGTCTAAACCCTTTTGCAGCCTCCGTTAACTTAATTTTAATCAACCACATATTTTCATTATCATTAGTTGAAGCTCTAGTCTCTATTTCAGATATTAGAGCGTTTATTAATGTGGCTACATATTGCTGATATTGTGGATCCTCCGGAGCATGATTTTGATCAATCCTGCAGACAGTTAACATTAAAAAAATTACCTGGGGGGTGTTTCTTAAAACTTGCAACTACATATACTTCCTATAAAAAATGATCTCCATAGAGAGCAATAAACCAATTAGAGCACAGTATTCTCCACAGCAGGTGCAATTGATTTCTCTCTAAAGGGATTATTTTCTGTAGAAAGTCGCAAATTTTGAACAATCCTTTGTCTTTACCAGAAGTGTTCTTCAATATAAGACGCCAAATAGTGCCTTACTTCTATGGGAAAACGATTCCCATAAAAGTTTCTCAATTGTTGCAAGCACTCTTGCGGCAATTGTTGCGCCTTCGCCCAGAGAGACATGTTTACAACCTAAAAAATATGGCAACAATCACATAAACAATATTTATACGTTAAAAACTAGGAATATCATGATTTTTGCACTCAAGGTCAACTTTGGCGGCTATACGCGAATTCTCTTGTTTAAACAATTGCGAGTTCATGACATCTGGACTAACCTTTAACAATCAAAACATAAACTAACACGAACTATTTTAAACAGGTTTTTATTAACATTTGTAAGAATTTTCTATCAATATTTAGTTGAAACACAAAAGTATGGAGTGGCCTGTGCGACGGCCATGTTTTAAATAAATTTCCCAGAAACACTGTTGACAGTTGTATTGTCAAATTAAAGTTTAAAAAACATTAACTAAAATCCTTAATATGTGCGTTTTTCTGTTAAATATTAACACTTTATATACAAAATTCCTTAAAAATGTGTATTGTTATAAGTAGGTACAAAAGAGTTTATAATAATATGCTTTAGAAATAAAATTGTTACTCGAGTTCAACAATAAAAAACACCACATTGCAACGCCGCACTATGTCACGTGACAGTTTGTTATTTTTATGGCGTTTAATTAAAGCTATACATACACACAATTAAATAATTTAAAAAAACACGTAAAAGAAAAATTATATATTGTTCTGATGGTTTTACTTTGTTTTTTTAAAATCATTATTGTACTAATTAATGACTTAACAGGCTTCTGAAATTCATTTTATTGGATTTTTTTATTTATTATTTTTTTAACTGGTGTATTGTCTGCTTTATTAGCGCCTTTTCGGCGAATTGAAGTAAATTTTGTTATCTCGTCAATCGATGGTGGTTTTCTTAAAATGATTAAATAACAAAATTCTTTTTCCTGGAATTCTTTTCAGCAGGTAAATTTAAGTTGAAAGACCGCACATTTAATTTAATATTTTTTATTAAAAGAGAAAGTGTACAACAATCCAGGCAACAATAAATATATGTCTTTAAATATAATTAACATAGTGTACAAAAGTACAATATCATTATTAATAAACATAAAAAAATATTAATAATTAATTGACAACATTTTTATCTACATCAAGTGCCTTCCCTATAATTCACGATGACGTTTCGCAAAAAAGATTTCGCGCTATCATAGGTGGCGTAACTAATCCCCACTGCTATTGGTCCTTTTATCCAATTCATTGACAAACCTTTGTAGAGGCCTCTGCGCAGACCTTCATTCCTAAAAAAACAGGTAACTTTGATCAAAGAAAGAATTATGCGTTTTTATTGGTTGATATGTAAGTAAATCACATGTAACGTCCAATAGGATGATTTCATGGCTTTATTTGATGGATAATAACGATATTTGATTGGATTAAGGAAATTTAAGGGAAAATAAGTGGTTTTGGGGTAAAATTTTGTTATTTTTGTGTAGGTACTTAACAGAGATATAGATATCTCTGGTATTTAATGCTTTTTTTATACTTACGTGTAAACATATTTAAGAGTTTTGTAAATTGAAGGATATTTTCCCACAGTATCTGTTTGCATTCTTCTACGTACTATATCCAATGGATAGCTACTAGTTTGCCCCAACATCCCCGCCACTGCTCCAAATAGCAGTGATATACTGGGAGGGGGGTTATGACTATCGTGAAATTTTTCTAAAAGCAATTTTTTTGATAATATTTTTTACATCTTTATTTGTTTACCTCTATAAAGTCTTTTCAACGTATCGTATGTAAAAAAGGAGACCCCCGCGTAGGGCAAGACTCCAGCTATTGTGGGTATGTACCCCCTATAAAAAGTCAAGATTCCCTCTGTCGAGTATATTTTGTAAAAAACGTGTCGCAGCGTTGCGTATTCGTGTTTGTGCGTCACCGCCATTCTTGCCCTTGCGAAATCAAGGGGGTACGTCAGGGACTGAGACGTCGCCCCTGCCAGGGACCCTGCCAAAAACAATCGTCCCGGAGATTTCCTGAAAATAGGACTGTTTGCACAACATGGCAACGGCGGAAGATTTTAGGGTCAAATGTTAGTTATATCGCTGATTGAAAGTTAGAGGATTTTTAAGATTTTTTTGCTATTTAGGTATTAAAAACGTTAAAAAGTTCTTGACATTTTTTTTTTAAATTTTTGCATTAAAAAAATTAAAACTTTAAAGAGTTCTTGAGATTTTTTTTTAAATTTTTTATTAAAAAAAATTGTTTTATATTTTTATAAATATTAATTTGAAAAAATCATCCAGTATGTAACAATTCTTTAAATCCTAAAATCCACAAAAAACATAATTAATAAAACATGGCAACACTGTAACGTCAACCAAACCATTAAGTAAAAGACTGTAACCAACAAAAAAAACGTATTTATACCCCGTCTGATCTACTTTTAATATTCTTTTCCACTGCTCGTGCGCAGTGAACTGTATGGCTGCGTGTGGGATGATGCGCGCCATCGTTGCGCTGTTGCCACGCCATAACGCAAAGAAACCCTCCCTTCTGTAAGTTTCCAGCAAAAACTTTAAGGCTCTTTTAGTGGAATACGGTCTATGCCTAAAAAAAATATAAAATTAAAGTGCAGGACTTATATTTTACGTTTTTCTACATCAAAATTTTAACATCTAAAAAATCTACCACATCCTATCGTTTTAAAGAACTTTTATGGATAAATCTGTCAACACTGCATTAAGGTTAGTTCACATAAATGTTCTTTAAACCGATAAAAACAAAGTAAAAAAATTCCCAATGCCAATATTTTCTAACAAGAGAGAAAATCTACGGTGACGAGGCAAATAAATATTTACCCAATTTGAAAATTAATTTTCGTCCTATCTAACGGCGCGATGATGGTTTTGGCCAACGCACCCGCCCCCGCGCCTGCGCAGAGGCTTGTCACAACAATTTCCGAATTAGTAAGGTGAGGTATGTGCGGATCATCATGCTTACTTTTTGACATATTGGAAGACTTTTTTGTTTAAGGCATAATAATTAACTGGAAATAATAAATAACATTAGAATTTTGCGGTTAAATGTGGTTCTGCGCAACAGTTTGGTCCACACTGCGCAGATTTGTCAAGAATGTATAAAACAGGTTTGCGCACCCTACCTTATTTAAATGAAAAAGTTGAATTATTTATTTTATTTAATAATTATTAATTACAATTAATAAAAAATAATTACAAAATGTTAAAAATGTGGAGTAAAAAAGTCAATCTTACCCAATAAAAATGATTAAGTAAAAATCACAGAAAATAACTAGATTGACATTATAAGTAATGTTGTTTTAAGCATACTTAATGAATTAATGAAAATTGAAGTACAATTTGTGCAAAGTTCAAAGATTTGAATATCCTAATAAAAACTCTAAATTTAATTGAAGATAACGTGTTATCGCGAGAGTTGCACAAAATTATAGACAAGAGTAAACAAAAACAATGTTACATAATTTAATACCTACACGTGAAAATTATGCATTATTTTGTATATTATTAATACATTTCTTTATAAAACGCATTATATTCATATAATAAAAATACTTACCTACAAAAACAATCAGATATCAAATTATCGATTTATTTATCTCGCTAGAAATTATCAGCTGATTAAATGTAGAATTTTATGAACCTGACTGTACTAAAACAGGTACCACTACCTGTATCCGCCGTGTTTTGTTTTCACCCATTGACGTGTCAAAATGGTAATAATTTAAAAATTGAATGTAACCCTTAAAACTTTCTTTAATGTGTACATTTTATGTTTTTAGGCAAGATATTTTAAAGAGGAAGATATTGACGGTAATTATATTCATCAAAGAGGGTTTAAGTTGTTTAATTGGTTTATAGGTCATTATTTAATTTCATTGTAATAGTTATAGTAAGTATTTATGTTAATAAAACTTACCTAGGTATTTATGCTTATAGACCTAATTAAATGCCTTTTAAAACCTTATCACTATTTCCTAATTACCATGCATATCATAATTAAACAAAAATGTCAATTGTTTTAGAGTTTAGGGAATGTTTCTATTTATTTGCAAGATCAGGGAACATAAAATCTCTGGATGAACTCACTGTAATCATGAGAAGCCTTGGTTTATCCCCAACAATATCGGAGTTGGCTGGTTATATAAAACAAAAGGTTAACCAATCAACAAACAGAAAAATTCAAAACTAACTATAATTTTTAGGGTGGTAAAATGACGTTTGCGGAATTTTTGGAGGTAATGCATATACATTCAAGGGTTGAGAACCTTCCAAAAGAGGTTGTGGATGCTTTTAAGGCAGGGGATTTAAATAATAAGGGTACAATCCCTGCAAAACAGCTGAGACACATGTTACAAAACTGGGGGGAATGTTTGTCTTCGAAGGAAGTTGACAGAATTTTCAGGGAAGCAAATGTAAACAACAACAGCATGGTTCGCTACGAGGATTTCATCAAAATTTGTTGTGCGCCAGTCCCTGATTATTATTAATTATACTATATTGTGTAATCATAATCAATGTACTTAAAAATACTGTGTACACTCACCTTAACCTATTTGTTTGTTGCACTTAAATTATCTTAATATATTTATTGTTTAACTAACGCACCATCGTCTCTAATTTCTTGTCTTTTACTTGAATTTGTATGTCAAGTTCAGTTTATTTAAGTTTTCTTATCTATAGATATTTGCGAAATTCTTCATGTTGGTATGATACATGAATGAAAACAAAACCACTATACAAACTTAAATATAAATAAATAAATCAATGTTACTACATTTTATCGACAATAAAGCACCCCAAATTAATAAAGCCAAGAAGTCCTTATTATTTTTGGTCTTTCGCAGTTCTGCACTAACTAAATTAAAGTACACCATGGCATTGTGTTAAATGACAATTTGGAAAATATTATCCTTATTTGCTGGTATTGATTGGTAAAAACAAATATTGTAGGGTTTTTTATGTATTTTAAAATACTGTGGGATATTTTTTAACATTTTTCGATTGTAGAACCACTATTTAATACAGGGTATTATTGCTATCACAATGCACACTTTCTACTTTCTCTTGTTTTTTAGAAAACACCCAAACGTTGGCGACACTGCAAAACTTGATATTTGACAGAAAATTAACCAAACAAAGCGTGTGCCCGGCAAAACGTATTTAAACGTTGTTTTTTCCATTAAAATAAGTGCAAAACCAAACAAATTAAGATGTCTGCTGCTATGCCAATCAACCCCAAACCATTTTTAAATGGTTTAACGGGGAAAGCCGTGTTGGTGAAGCTGAAATGGGGCCATGAATACAAAGGTTTCCTTGTTTCTGTTGACGGTTATATGAATTTGCAGCTGGCTAATACTGAAGAGCATATAGATGGAAATGTAACAGGTAAAACACGATTTTAATGTTTGTTTGTTAGATTTTTATGTTGATTTTATTTTGTAGGAAATCTAGGCGAAGTACTGATCAGATGCAACAATGTTCTGTTTATTCGCGGGGCAGAAGAGGAAGATGAAGAAGGTGAAACAAGAGACTAACCTTAGTGGTTTTTTAGGTTGTAAGTTACTTATAAGTCACTAGGTTTAATTTAAACTAAGTTTATTTCAAAAATAAACCAAACTTCAATTCAAAGTGGACATTATGGCATATTATTAAAGACATTCAATATAAAAATCGAAAAGTATCATTTTTGTCCTTATCCAAAGCTAAATTTGCTGACTTTGCAATGTGGTGTAATGTTGGTTGCATATAGTAAGAGTTAAAACGTTGATTCCATCTATGATTAGAATTTTTGTTCTTTTGATTGCAAATTTGGTAAAGGTACTTATTAAGCAAATAAATTGTGTCATTGAACCTTTCATAATATTAAGATTGTTTGTTAATTAAAGTATTAAATAACAGGAAGAATAAATTACCTTTAAAATAAAAATATGTAGGCACCTATAAGTTTTTTTTATTTGAACTTTAATCTTTTGATTATGTTCTTCATTCTTTGGTATTTTAAATATTTTTACAGTTTATTGCAATTTTACCAAATTTTTCATGGCACCCAAAAATTATTTTTCATTATCTTCGCGTGATTTTTGAACAATAAAACGAAATTATCACAAGATGTTTTATTAGTATGTATATCTTTTAAAAGTTATATTTTAGATAAAAAAAGACAAAAACTATTCTAATCTTGTTGCTAGTTCTGAAATTAAATAACTAGTTTTACGTATTATATTTAACAATTTAACCCCTACATGTGTATTGATAAAATTAAAAGGTCATGATTTGGTTCATACAGTGTAATTTGCAACTTTTTGTGTTTTATGTAATAAAATGTATTAAAGTGATTTTAATTTATTGACGTGGGACATTGGCGTACCAAAAGCGAAAAAAATATATACATATAAACATTTTAGAAGACATGAAAAAAAATAAAACCTATTAATAATAGTAATTTTTTTTATTGGGCCCTGAGCTTGTTGGATACAAATAAATAAAATGACAATTTTTTTTCAGTTTTTTTATGGAAAAACAGTTTAAAAAAATGTTCAAAATTCGTATAAATTTTTTGTTTAAACTAAATTTAAACTTATCAATTTTAACTTTTTTATGAAAGTTTATAAATGCATTATTTACAATTGAGGGAGAATAAAATATAATTTTTATTGTTTTTAGCAAGTTTTTAACAATAATAATGACAAAATAATTACTTTCATCAATAAAAAACAATAATAATTAATTAATATAAATTTTTTTGAAAATTTTTTAAGTTGCGATTTTTGGGCGCTACTGGAAATTTTATATCTTAATGCACTTTAAATTTGAAGTTTAAATCCATTTAAATAAGTGATAATAAATTTTAATTAATGAATGAATTTTATCAATTTATACTTTTTTCAAAATTCAGTGAAAGTAAGTTGCAATATAAAATTTTCCTATTTTGCAAATTTTGGTTCCATTGAGAAATGAAATGTCATATTCATTAATAAATATTAATTCTGTATACATTTTTTCTGGCGATTATTAATCATCATAACTTTTCGTTAATTAATTAATTTATCCACTCCCATTGCATAATTTTGTGTTTTTTCCGTGAATATTGATAAACATTATAAATTCCCTGCCTAACAACGTGAATAATAAACTCATTATTCAAGTTGTTAGGCATCAGTGATTGGCCTATTTCAATATTCACTGTGATTTGAACCAATCGGGTGTTAAATTGGAAGAAGGCGACTATTACAATTACATTTAAAATTAGTTAAAAGTAAGGTTAACCATTTGACAGATGTCAGATTTTATTTATTTAATTTTTAAAATCATTTAATTATCTACATACTGGAGTAGATAAATTATAGTATTACACTCGAGATTATGCGCATTATCTCTCGTATAATAATATAGGTACATACTACAATAACCAAAAATTTGACACCTAATATCGATAATATAGGTACACACATATTGATCAGCCAATAGGTTTCGCTAGTACTGTAGGTATATGGCTATTATACATTGTGTCCCCCGATATTCATAAAAACCATTAAATTAAGTGTACAGGGTGCTTTATATATTATTTTATAGAACAATTGTATACAGGAAAGTCGTTGTCACTTTATTTTAAATACGAAATAAAAACTTTTTTACATTAAATTTATTTATTTATTTTTGAAATTAAATGTTAAATATGTTTTTTTTGTATTTAGTCTTAAATTGAAATTGTTAACGACGGTCTTTTCTATAAAATAATAAATAAAGGTACTTCTCTCTTGAAGCATCTTTATGTTTTTTTAATTTCTGTACACCCTGTACATTTGATTCAATTTTTTTCTTTGGGAATCTCATTTTTTAAACAAGCAGACGTTTTTATAAAAAAAATTTTTTTCGTAAAACGCATAATAAAAAATCAATTTTTGGGCCATATTTGGGTGTCAAATTTTTGGTTATAATTTCACTGTCTCACAGTGTTATTAACTTTTTATTGTTAAAACGTAATTATTTTTTTTTCTTTTTGTATAAATATACTGTTTTTTCTCCCACCTTTAAAACGCCCATTATCGTACATGTTTCTATGTCACTAAGTGAACTTTTAAAAACACATTAACAAGTTGTGGCTAAATGGCGTTTTAGTCACGGGCTGAAGTTAGCAATAGGTGAAGTTAGTTCACAATTTTCAAATGTCATACAATCGTTAAAACAAAGTGCCCTTCATAAAAATGTGAAAATATTTTATTATCTCGATTCAAAAGTATTAAATAGTTTCTCAACGCCAATATTTGAAAAGTTTATATGACCTTTTAATTTCGCCGGCAGTAAACTAAAATAACCTTTAAAAATTTTGCCCATAAAACATTTTCTTTACTGTGAAAAACTGCTTCTATATCGGATTTAAACAGTGATTAGTCCATTTTTAAGGGATACATTTCGATCTACGCATAGGTACTATAGTACCTGAATGTAAAACTATATATAGTTTTACATTTTCATCAATACAGATTCCCAAGAATGTTTACTCCATTGTTTTATAGATGTCGCTCTATACAAATATTTTAATTAAATCATTTTTGGTATTGTCATAGAAAAAGTATAATATGCATTTCGTTTATAAACTTTTCGTGACTAAAACGGCGTTTATCAAACAACAATACATAAATACTATTTAAACATTAAAATTATAAAATCATATTAATTTTAGGAATCGAAAACCACTCATTTTTGTAATTTTTTTCCACTCAACCAAATACCGCTATAGATGGGACACCCTTTATAGCACATAAAAAATACAATATTGTACAAATATACATTTACATATATTTTTGTTTAGGGGTAATATAAGTCACAAGTTATTTGTTTGTTTGTTTATGTTAAAAGAAATGAATACAAGTAATAGACCACACATGACACCTAGGGTTTAAATTATTATTTTGTAAATAAAATATGGTTTTTATTACGTATTAAAAAACTAACGTCCACACGTGCTAAGACATAAGTCTGTTTATTTATTAGTCTATAATAATAATCAAAAAAGAAGAAAACAGCAAGTTAGGAATAAGAAATGTACATAATAAAATTAAATGTGCACAATAATTGGGAGAGATCTACATAGGTAAGTTATCTTTATTTTAACAAAAATATTTTTCGTTTTGTTACGCCAGTGGCATTTGATAACTATTCGAACAATTGAGCATCGTTTTTTTTAAGTCAATTGACTCAACTTTTCCATATAAATATAGATCGCCACTCGAACTTATACCTACTTTATTTTTATTTGGTGTTTAGTTCTTGAAGATGTTCCCGTCGAAAGAGATTTTTCCGTTTTAAAACTTCTTAGTTCGAACGGCGAAATCTCGAATATAATAGATGTGGAATATTCATTTGAAAGCTTTTTATTGTTCTTATCACTTTTTTTATTTTGAAGTTTTTAAATTTTTTTATTTATATTTTATATCGTCTTATATAAAAAATAATAAAATAAGATTCAAAAATTAAATTAAAGCATTAAAAATTAAACTAAAATATCTTTTTTGTCAATATAATAAGCAAAATTAAACGAGACCCTGGCTCCCTCAAATTAAACAAAAACTTGCTAGTCAACAGGTCGTTAATATCCAGTACAAGTATGCAATAATACGGGAATTAAAGCGTCGTGTGGATGTCATCACGTCAATCTCCTCGCGTCCCTTGGGCCTTAAACCATAAATAATCGTTGTCATTCGCTCCAGATTAGCTGATACGTCAACATGCCATACTACGCCGTCATTTAGTACAGCTCGTAGAAAACCCCGAAGGTACAGCTACGGATGCTCCGTAACAACGGTATTGTTCTCTATTCTTGCCGATGGGGGTGCGTTTGACCCCTTTTCGCTGTCGACTCGTCGACAAGGGGTGAGACAGTTTAAGTTTGGTTTATTAAATCGGAAGTATATTTTAATTTGGAGTCTATGTTGATTGTCCAAAATCATTTACAACTACACCTTGGGCAGTTTTTTCATTTTTTATTTTAAATAATACACTCGCACAGTACAAAAATATTTGTTAATTTTAACCAGATTTTATGTTAATCAATAACTTTATGTTAAGTTTACAACCAACTGTAATCTGTTAACTAATTGAATAAGTAGTTTGTAATTATAACAAACATGTAGATATACGTAATAACAAAATCCTATGTCAATAATTCAACCATAATTCTTGTAATTTTCAAAAAGAACCTTATTTTTTACAAACCTTTTTGTAGACCCATAACCAAAAGTATTTGTTGGAAATTGGAAACTTAAATGAATAGAATGTTGATAAGAAATGTTGCTTTATTAATTAATTTCCTAAACAAAAAAATTAACACATACCTACATAAATAAACACAAAAATAACATAGACACAATTAAATAACACACCATTCTGAAATCATAAAATTATAAAGAAATTTGGTACAATATAATTATCAGTACTACTAAACACTTACATCCCCTAATTTCAGTTTGAACACCAGTGATGGCATCTTTTTTCGAATACTTCGCACACTCGTTAAATAGGTATAAGAAATGTTTCTGCATACTTTATTCTAATTCGTTACGTGTTCGTTACTTTATTCTAACTGTCAGTGTAAAATGTTTTGATTGACTTCCTAAATTCACGTGTACTTTGTCAATGAAATAATTAAACATTAACAAAATAATCTGTGACCTTTGAAATTAGCAAAATTGCATATTACTTTTACAAAACTTTCGGTAAAATATTTTCC